ATGCTGATGAGACATAATCTTTTCTGTGCCTTTTGCACATGCTTTTTCAGTGATGCTTCTGTGAGAAATCCTGCGGGCACTGCTGGCACTTCCCCAAGCAGAGAGATAAGGCACTGCCATCTGCTACCCGATGCCCAGGTGGCATTCACATGGGCTGTGCCCAGCCCAGCGGTCCCCACTGGCAGGGTGTGTTTCCAGCTTCATCACAATTTGGACTGTGAAAAATTTATCTCTGAGGAAAATCTTAGCATTTCAGACAGTGCTTTTCCATAGTCAAGAGTAAAACCAAGCCAGGCTGAAAGCAATTCTCTACGTTCTACTTCCTAGGGATCCAACCCAGCAATAAGGGTGTAGTGAACTCAATTTGTGTGTTTTTCTGGGGATAAAGAGAGCAGGTTGCTTGTTGTCTGGATTCCCATGACAGATTCTGGTCCTCTCAAGACGAGCCACTAATTCAGATGGTAAGAATAAAATGTTCTGTGCTAAAAATCTCTCAGATATGTTTTTCATTAGTTCTTGAAGATAAGTGATTGCAAAATCCAGCTGTTTACAGTCATAATCAATGTAGTCAATATTCCTAAATGTAAACTTAAAATCTTTTTGGATATATTCTTCTACACTTACTTCTTCGTTATCTCTTAAAAAAAAGATCCTCTTCCTCCAACAAAGTTATGCATTGTTGTCACTTGATAGTAATGAACTTTTTCTTTATTGATTTCTAACAGAAAATCTTTGTATAATCTTTTTGGTAACTGAAAGGGTTGAGAAAACAAGTATGGCTGTCAGGCACTTGGATTCTGTAATGTTTGTGGGTTTTGTGGCTCTTTTTTTTAGCCCTGATGCTCAACTTCACAATAATATAGCATTCCCAATAATTTATTAAGCTATTAAACCTAACAAGTGGGCGAATCCTTAATGTTGCCTGAACTATGCTAGTAGCTGATGTGTAGCAGATAGGGACTTTTTGGCATTTCTGAGCTCAAGGCAGCTTGGAGCAATTTTCCCTAAAAGTAATTTTGTCATCTTCTGATTTAAGTTTCATTGAATATTTACTTTGGACATTCATACATTTTCCGCTGGTTCCAAATTCAACTTCCCCCCGCTGGCTACTTTTGATTAAATATATATTTGCAAGTTATCAAGGAGGAGCTAAAGTTGGGTTTTATTTGTTTATCTGTCTTTGCTTATGTCAGTTGTTTTTGCCCAGAATATGAAAGAGGCTGTGGAGGGCCTCGAGCTTGGACTGGATAAAAACTGTTGCTCTTCATAGGCTGCTCGTGTATACTATTTTTAGTGTAGTGTTTTGTTTTTCCTAATAATTTATTGCTCTGTCTCCTGACTCACAGGTCACTTTTTTTTTAGAGCGCACAAATGTAAAGGTTGGATCCTTTATTATTCTATAAAGTGCTAGTTTATTTTGAGAGGCAGGATACTCCACCTGGTGAGATGGTGGTGGTAAGTGGTTGTGGGGGGGTGAGCCCTGTCCCTTCTCTTCTCTGGAAAGTAAGTTCGAAGAATACGCAGTACAGGGTGTTACAAAACACGTGCAACCAATAAACTTGGAGTGGAGGCCAGGGATGGTGGGTGACTCGAGGTCAGTGCTGTGCAGGGAGACTTTTGCCTGCTGGCCCTCACTGTGCCTGTCTTTGCTCTGTGCCAGCAACAGCGCAGTCATCCATGAACTCACTTTTTCCCTTGAAGGGAGAATTGTTTTGAACAGATACGTAACGAACACACGACTACTATTCTTGCTCTAGTACTGTTAATTCTGGCAGTTCCTATGAGTGTCTTGCATCTAGGATTGTAAACTTGTTTCATGCCACGAGGTGCCCAGTGGCTGGATGTTTCTGTTAGCTCTCAATGCAAGCCTGGCAGCATGGTTGAATGAAGGGGAGAGGGAAAGCAGACAATTAAATTTTGTAAGTAAACAAGTATGTTGTTTGAAATTTAAGTGTTCAAGTGGGCCCAGTTTTTAAAAGGTACTTTCCAAGATGTGTATATATGTGAAGGGAAAATCTAACAGGGCCTGAATGCTCTAGAGTTTCATTAGTCTGATTGTTCTTTTAAATCTTAAAATAAATCTAAACTGTAACAAGGTAAATGTCACTCAGCTAGATTCTGGTGATTCTTCAGATTACATGAAAACAAAGAGGAACTTAACCTGCATCCATCAAGCCGTTCAGTACTTGCACAGGTGAAATAGGTCTAGGCACGTAAAAAGACTATTCTGATGGTTTGTATTGAACTGGAAGTTCATTACTGCTCAGGCAGTTGCAGATTTTTAGTTCCTGGCCCATGAGGTCTTTTCAGCCTCATGGAAAACTGCACAGACTCATCTTCTCTAGAATTTAAAAATAAAGCAAATTAGTTTTCACCTATCTGGATCTTGGGTTAACTGAAATGGGGATATCAGCTGACCTGGGTAGCAGTGCTGGCATTCTCAGGGCTTTCTTTTCATTTGTAACACTATAGTTTTTCTGGGTTCCTCTAAGACGGCAGAATACTTGAAATTGAGTTCTATGCACCCTTGATGGAAAGGGGTTGCTTTTGGTGTGGATGCAGGGCTTCTCGCTGTGCTGGTGAATTGCTGATAGCACCTATTTTGCAGTTGTGCTGAATTTGTAATGCTAGTAACGAAACCAATACTTTTTGAATATGTGACACATCTAGATGATGATCAGAATTCTTGCCCCTGAAGAAATGACATACTGATCATGCACATGGGAGTCCTCATTTAGTTTGTTGTGAAGGTTTTTTGTTTCGTTTGTTTAATAGCCTTTTAATTTAGTAGACTACTTTCACCAAAAAGTGGACTAGGTCATAGATGTGGGTTTTTTTGTTTTGTTTTTTTTTTTTTTTTCCCAAACATCTAGACTTCTGCCACCCCCATCCCACAGCCTTCTCTGTCTTTCTGTTGTTTTGTTTGTTTTGTTACCCCAATAAAACTGAGAAATTAAAATATATATTAAAAATGGATACTGATAGGTAGCTTTGAGAAGATTTTCAACATGCAAAAGGTTCCTCGGTAGTCTTATATCTTTCTGTATATTGAGAAGAGATACTTTTCAAGAGATTAAAAACAAGGAGGAATTACCAGGGATGTCTGATTTGTGCAAGTTTAAATTAGCCTCTTAAAGTCAGTAGTTCCTGATGTCAGAGTCTGAAGACCATGGCTACTAAAAACCTTTGGTTGGGCTTATTGGCACCTGACTGTAGCATGAAGATGAGAGTGTTTGGCTACTGATTGTTGAAAATTTTTAGACTGTGTGGAAGGCTGAGTGCTTTAATACTTAAAAAAACTTCACTCGCTTTGGCAACAATATTATGTTGGAGACTGCATACTTAGTGAAGGGTTCCATAATGTGCAACCCCATATGTCAACATGGTACTTTTTTCAGGGGTTTCTCTGACTTCAGTGGCTGTGGCATCCCTGTTGATTCCACCCAAAAATGAGTCAGTGCTTTCACACTGCACTTTTCAAATTCACTCTTGTTTATTTTCAAGAAGTCTGACTACAGTCTGAAGCAAATGGCACATGATGTAACTTCTTTTTCTTTCAGTGAACTTAAGGAGGAATAACAGTTTGTGCCTGGTGATGATAAACCAAAGTGGAAGCTCTGCTCACACATGGCTGGCCTTCCCCAGCAGGAGTTTTGTGTGTTCCCAGTACAGTTTTGTTCAGGCCCTTAATGGCTCTTCCAAATCATTCACACACAATCCTTTTGAGAGCTGAAAGCTACTTTAAATTCCAACTCAGAAAGGAAGTGTTGTTTTATCAGTATTAACAGGAAAATAAGCACAAGAACACTTGAAAGTATATTGTCAGTTTCTAAGCACAATAAACATTTAAGATAATGAGACAAAGCATGAAATTTCCCAGAGAGATGAATCTTCAGTGTTAGTGGGGAAATTTTAAAACCCAGCATTTTTTGGCAATTATAACTCTACATCACTATGAATGCTGTTCCCAAAGATCCTTGCATGTATTGTGAAGATGATAAGCTACAGAGGAATAAACTGAGTAACGCTTTAGCAAAAATCCAGTCAGCACAAGATGCAAACACTTCATGTTTTAAATAAAGAGCTGCTCTATCTGGCATCTCTCATAAGCATTGAAATACCTACTTTAGGATTTTTAAATGTTCCAGTGTTGTTTTCCAGTAACATCTAGGAGTGATTTATTCTCACAAATTACTGCTTTCCATCTTTAAACCAATCTCTGTATAAAATATTGCAGAAGTTGCAAATAGTTAAATCTTTGTCAAGCTGAATTTTTAAGCAAATTAAAGAGGAAACTTACGTCTGTTGTTCTGAGTTGTATTGTGTTTAAGGGCTCAAATAAAATTTCTGGCATGCATTTTTATTTATGCATTATAAAAATGCTATCACAGCTGGAATTTAATGCAGAGCTGCCACCAACTTGTTTAATGGGAGGGATGTCTTGGCTTCCAAATGGAGTTAGACTTCCAGCACTCAATAGCTGCAAATGTCGTGTGGATGATATGCCTTCAGAAAGAGATGAGGATTAGCCAAATACACGTGCTTTTTCATTGTTAATTCATGCTGGGCTTCCTTTGAAAAGAAGGCAACAGCAGTTGAGCCACTGCAGTATGTTTACAGCTAACATAAAGTTGAGTAAGCTGATGAAAGCCTTCAGTCTGTATATCTTCAGCCATGTAGTTGCTGCTAAACTGGTTCTTGAATTAGTGAGTAACAATAGTGATGATGGTCATCAGTCATCATCATCCTCATCTCCAAAGTTCCCTTGACTGGGGAAGCCTTGATGAAAGACAAAACAGTCATCATCATCAACATCAGTGAAGGAGGTGTGGAGGAAAATAAAAATAATAATAAAAAATGAGTATATATCTCTAAAAATCTCATATTGGAAAAAATATGTATTTTATTATAAAAGTGCTTACTTGTTTTTCCAAAAAACACTTCAGGAAGAAATCTTCATATATTCTGCAAGCTTAAGTGCACTCTGTTTTCTGTTCTAGGGTGACACACGGCTCCTTCAGCTCCCCAAACCAAGCATGTTGGATGCGGCTTCACGTTATGGTGGCAGTGACTGTGAAGCTAGCCTAGGTCTGATCTCTACATTGCCCTTGTTTCCTCCTGTGAACTAGGGTGGGATTTAAAACAGGAGCATTTCAGTAATTTGTTTTCAATATAATTGTGCAAAACTTCTATCAGTATATTTACAAGGGGGGTGAATCACTGTATCGATGATGAGAATGAAGGATAGATATAAACACTTTATTCCCTTCCAGTTACGGCTGATTGTCTATCCTGTACTTAGTGCCACATACTTATTCTAAAATAAATGTTTTCTCCTAATTGTTTTCTTTTATGAACTAAGAGAAATAACTGAAAAAATAGTTTTGAGTTGCAGAATTAGAAATCCTGTTGCTTTGTCAGGATTTTTAAGTTTTTTTGTTCAGGTAAGTTTATCAAGTCATGCAGTTTGTTCTAACATTAGCTAATGCTCTGCCTAAATTAGATTATCAAGGGAAAAAATATAAAAAGCTAGAGAAGAATAAACGGAAAACTTAAAAATTATTTAGTCTGCTCCTGGTAGGCATGTTTGTTTCATTATAATATAACTTTGGAGTTTTTTGTGTAGTCACATTTAAACCAAATCACAATCTAGGAAACCATAATATAAAATAAAACACAAATTGATGTGTGCTTAAGTAAGGGCATTAGCTGAGACAAGTCCTCTTTGCTTTCAGTACCTGTCCGGTTATAGCATGTCGGTACAAGCAGCATCTTTTGTAACCTGTTCTGTAAACTGTTAAGTTTAGGGATCAGCAAAAAGTGTATGTTCTGTTCCTCCAACTGGCTTATATTTACAGTGCTAAGCATTGCAGCAGTGAAAATGTAACAGCTCTATAGTGACATTTCAGCACTTATTTACCCATGTCAGGATACAGCGGAACAACTGTATTTTAGAATATACAAGCTCTCTTGCAACTTTTGGTGAACTGAGGTTTGATAAACAAGCCTCAAACTTCACATTTTCAGGTATTGCTTTCCTCCTAAATACGGACAATGAAATCATAATGATTGACCTACTTCACAATTTGTGATTTCCTTGTGGAGCAAGAAAATTCAGCTTACATCATTCATTTGTTCTTAAGTATTCCTTTTGATTGTCTAGTTAAGAAAAAAAAAAACATATTTTCTGATCAAAATGCAAATATTGGATCTAGAATTTGGTTTAATGCCAAAAAAATGCAAAAGAAGCAGGTTAAACTGTTGTTGCTTAGGTAAAAATAGAAAGCTACAGTTGGAAGAAAAGTGACTCAGTAAGCAGTATGGTGATGGCAAAATAGGATGTCAGCCAAAACGCAGGAAGCAAGATGGGAACACCCAGATCAGTTTAACAGTCTGCTTTTTATACTCTAGGAGCTGTAGTTTCTGAGATTACTGCAGAAAATTTAAGCTTTAAATTAATTTAACTGGATTTTATTTCTGTACTTATTAAACTGTTTGAACCTGAATAAGCTTTGGTAAAATGTGAATCATACATGGCTTGGGGATTTTTTGTTAGGTTTTGTTTGTTGTGTGTTTTTTGTTTTTTTCACCTTTTTTTTTTTTTTTTTCCCATCAGCCTGATTTTAAGACCAGTCTCTTTGGTAACTTTTATGGTGAAGCTGCCTGGAGATTAGCTCTAGATGCTGAGAGGCATCTGGCAGAAGTGTGTGGTAGACAGGCAGTGATACACACGTACCTGGGGAGTTACTGCAGCACTGCAGTCTGGAGTGGAGCTGATGGCACTGATTGGTACTGATTGATTTTTATTGCTCTGGAGTAACTTCATCAGCTGCCATGTAGATGTGTCTTGATTTTTAAAAATCCCTCCTTACTTATAAGATGGTGTGCTTTGTTTTGTTTTTCTAATTATAAACTGGCATAACAATACAAAAGCAGGTAAACTTCTTTCTATTCTACACAAAACTAAGTAGACCCAGTAATTTTTTTTATAGCTTATACTCTATTTTCTTTGAATAGCTGGTGTGAATCAATCCTAGTGTAAAGTTCCTATGGTGCCATTTCCTGCCTACAGCTGAACTGCTTTGATATAATCAGGTAGTGGTTCAGCTTGGTAACCTGGAAGAAGTAAGAAGACAGTGAGTAAGATGAGGTACTGTGCTGCTCTCCTCATGTTTTCATAATGGCTGTCCCCAAGCTCAGAGATCTTGAGCCCTAAGAATCTAAGACAGAAATCAATGTGGGGGACAAAAGAAAATCTGTATAAGAGTATTCCTAAGATAAGGTAATCAGTTCATTGCGTTTGCTTAATTAAAGTAAACTTAACTAATAGCTTGTTTCTTGAAGCAAGTACGCCATCTCATGAGTTTAACTTTTGATAGCTTAAATTATACTTGAACTCTTAATATTGCAAGGCTTTTGAAGCGTGTGACTTCAGATATAATTACAGGTGTGTAATATGCAGACACAACATGACTGCTCATTCAGAGAATCATGAATTTGGGGGGTTCAAGGGCAACTTTCTTTTGAAGTGAAGCACAATGTGGAATTAGTTAACTGAAGCTTCCATAGGTGTTTCTAATTCCAGAAGAGAAGCTGTTACTCAAATGTTTACATTGTGTTTCATTTCCTTTACAGTAGTTTCTTGAATCCCTGCCTTACTCTTAAAATATGGAACTACCTTTAACCTACTTCTTGGAATAGTGAGATAATAAAACTCATTCAGAGTTGACTGTTTTGGGGGAAGGCCAGAGAGCTTTTGCTATAATTTTTTTAAATGCAGAGCGATGCCTTTGCTAGGAGGTGATGGGTTCTGAACACTGACAGTGCAGCTGCTTTTTCTCTAGTGTACCTGACTCTCCTGCCACGAGGCTTTTAGACTGAAGCATCTCCTTATGGAGCTTGTACTAAAAGTATAAAAAATAAGGTCCAAGCACTTATGCAATATTTTTAGTCTTTTAAAAAAAATTGTAGTTCATGAAGAAAGCAGAGAGCAGAGGTGGACAACCACCATACCATGGTGCCTGCTGGGCAGCTGCGGTAGGGCAGGAGCACGGCTTGCGTCAGCTGGGAATGCGGACAGCCCACACCGTGCACTCCGTATTTTGTTTGGTGTTTTGTTTACTGGGTTTCAACTTTCTAAGAAGTGAAATAGAAATCCGATTACTTCAAATTGGTGGCCTTCAAAAACCATCATGGACTGCTATAGAACATATTTAAAGGCAATTATTAGTTATTTCATGGACTCTCTAAGAAAGTAGCCCTCCAAATCAGTGGATGTCAGGATTAATGGATGCTTCAAGTTGAACAACTTTTGTCTTTCTTTGAAGAAAGGCACTTTATGTAAATGAGCTCTCCTCCTGGAAGAGGAGGACAAGCTTGGTAGATATTTGTGGTGTCCAGTGCAGTATGAAAGGTGCTAGGACAATAAAATAAGCATGGACTAAGAGAGATTACAGTTGTAGCACTGCCTGGTCATGGCAGGAGGAGCTCTGCTGGGGCTGTTCACTGCCTCACTGTCCCCGGGCAGGACAGGGAAGCAACTTGCAGATGTATTTTCTGGTGCCCCTGGAGCACAATGGGTTACATGATACTGAATGTCTTTGTTTCCTGTCTAAGGCTAGAAAATAGATTAAATGCTCTTCTCATACACATATTTCAGGAAAACATTTTGTAATTACTACAGAAAATGCTGTAATAGGAAAGGGAAGGGAGTTGGTTCACACAAGTGTTACCTAGTTGGGAAAGGAGTCAGCTGGGCACAACTGGATTAACTGAAGTTCTGGGGGAGTCATTGGGTTACAGTTAAGTGGATTTGTGACTCACTAGTACCACATACCTAACTTCCATAGAGGTTTTGGGATGTGAGCCAATTTAACTTTTTGGGGGGGAAGGGGTTGAGTTCGTATTTTTTATTACAGTGATCCAGTGACTGTGCACGTGTGTAATGGACAGGGGAGGACAAGGATTTGAAGACTCTTTATAACATGTCTGGTTAAATGGTCTTTTCTGTTTGTCCAGAAGATGTAGAAAATTAGTCTTTGTTGAGGTTGGTATGTGCAGGAGACAAAGGAAGGAAAAATGATGTACTGTATGTTTTGAGTCATATGTAGTAGCTTCAGTCTAAATATATATTTTCCTCTCTTTTCCTCCAAGAGTAGTCTGACCTCTGCTGCTATCTCTTGTGACCACCTGGTCAATAAACTTTAGTTTCAATGTATTGATTAAAGAGCTGTAGTGCCTTGTTACTTTAATTCCTGTGTACTTGTGTCAACTAATGGGACTTTTTGTATTTTAAGAGGAATAAAATCCAGAGACTGATGTGATGTGTATTTTATGCTATATACTTGCATGTTCCATTGCTAGAAATGAAGCAGAATAATAATCGTATTTGTATGGTCAGATTATAGGATTGAGGTTATTCTGTGCACAGTTTGTGATGTGTGTCTTCAACAGGGCTGATTCATACACAAAAGCAAACAGTTACAGCGCACACACACAGTAAGACTTTTTTAAACTAAACACTGAGTTTGCTGTTTCTATAAATGTCTTTCCACCCTTGTCCTCAATTACATCAACTTGCATCATCTGTGTCTGTTGTATAGGAACAATTACCAGGCTTCTCAGTATTTATAGGGTTTTTTCCTTTATGAAAGCTTTTAGAAGTTGATAAACAATATAGAAATCTAGTAGAGCTGCAAAAAGACAATATGCCACATGAATTTTGTAGGAAAACATGTTTCTCAAGATCCGTTGCTATTTGTGCTTTAAACTTTTTTTTTTTTAAAGTCCAGATCAAATACTTGGTTTGTTAGATAGCTGATACAATTTTAAAGTGTTGGCCTTGTGTTTATAATGCTGTTATGAAAACAGTAGCATTTCCTAGTTCAGTACTTGCTGTTTATCATCCTTTAACAAGATGCAGGTTTTTGTTTTGAAACAACATTATGTTTTTGTAACTGCAGTCAACACAAATGTCTCTTTAGCTAGCTGGGTCTCCTCTTCCATCCTTAAGGCAAGGATCTGGTTGCTTCTGAAATAATAGGTCTGATAGAGGAGCAGAAGCAGTGTTTGTGAGGACACTGAGCATTTTAAGTATACAATATAAGCTTTGGTATCAGATTTTTTTAAATGCAGAAAGGGGGTGGGCTTTTTATCTGAATCTAACCGGCTCAGCAGAAGCACTCAGGCCATAGGATTTATCTCTTAGTTTGTGGCAAGTCCAGAAGCTTTTTATCAAACATGGGCTCTCTCTAAGAAAGAGAGCCAAATAATAGAAGGTCTACTGCTTCACATAGTAAGCTCCTAATGTTAAAGGGCACGTCTATTTTACTGTTACTTGCCATTTAAAATTCTCTAGCGTAAATTTTCAGGTATCGTATCTTACCGTGCACATTTCTGTTACAGTAAGAAGGTGTTTGAGATAGGATCTCTCTGCATAAGCATATGCAGATCTTGATCAAGCTCTCTGATGTGTTTTTTTTTTTTTTTCTTTAACACCATACATGTTTTTATGTATTTTAACTAAACAGAACTCCTCTTACTTTTTCTTAAGGATGAATTCACCTTCTGTTTAGCCTGCTAAGCATGAGGCAGTTCTTGTTGAAATTAATATCACTCCAGCTGAACACTTTCTAGATTTTTGGAACTTCTGTGTCAGTAGGAAAAATTCTCCAGTAATGATCCTTCCTGCTGTGGATTTCTTAACATTACCATGGCCTTTGGTCATAAAGATGAGCATGATGCTTGTGTTAGCAGCAAGATAATGCTGAATTTTTTTTTTTTCCTTTTTGTCAGCTATAATACCCGAATTCTTTTCAGAGTCTCTCCAAATTCCATTTCCCTATCCCCATGTATGACTTGCCTATTGTTCACCAGACTTTCAGCTGGAGTAAAAAAAAATAATAAATTGCAGGTGCCTAATTTTGTAGGTGACTCAAATCACTACCTAAGTGTCTTGTCCTCTCTGTTATTTACCATTCCTTTAATCTTTCATTCACCCCCTTTATTAGTCATTTTCTGCCATCCGTCAGATGAATGACCATTTTGACTCATGCCAGATGATTTAATGTATCGTTCATGTGCCATATGGGGTCCTCCTGGGTAATTCATCTATCCTCTGGATTTTCTTCTGCCAGAGGGCAGGTGGTGGCCAGATGATGAATTGTCCTGGCAGCACCCTGTTCTTCCAGGGCCGATGGTCCCTTCCAGGGCTTGGGGGCAGGCAGCTGGCGTTGAAGGTGTTTTGGAAGAGCCCCTTCCCTACTCTCCCCCTGCCCCCTCAGAGGACAGAGCCACAGGACTTGTGCTGGTTATGGCAGTCCAGCGCCTGGCACGTTTTCACAGATGTGTGCATGCAGCTGTGTCACGTGTGGCGCAGGTCGGGGTGCTGTACCACCGGCTGCATGTGCTGTGGATGCCCATGGGTGCACAGCAGGAAGAGGGTCCCGGTTATAGTCCGTCCCTGCTACCCAAAGCATCTGTGTAAGTGCATTCCTTCAAAAAGGAGGAAAAAGGAGTCAGTAAAGATGAGGACTCCTGTGCAATGAACACAGTCCCCCAGCAGTGGGCTGACTTCTCTTATTTACCTTATGTAGAACCTTCAAAATAGGCTGTAAGCCCTGGGGTCTATGGATTACAAGCCTGGGCTAGGCAAATATGTACATGCAAAAGCCAGTTCTACACACTTTACAATTTGCATACGCAGGTAATTGCACACTTAATTGGAGCTTTTGTTTCATGCATCCCTTCTTGTATGGATCTCTCAAGTCTGTCTTGCAGTGTTTGCCAAATGCTCAGCTATTAGAGCATGAAGACAAAAAAATCCTTCTGAATTATATTTTTTTCCAATTGGAAAGGTATTTTATGCATGGTAATGAAAACATGAATAGAAATTAACTCTGTCCCTGTGGCCATTTTGTTTTGGTGGATGACATAGGACATTTAAGCTAAAATTGTGAAGATGTCATGTGCTTTTTTGCCCCTAAAATGTTAAGGTAAAGAACTGCTGACAGCCTTGCCTCCACCTGCTTTTCTTTGCGACTCTTAAAATAGACTTTGAAGTGAATGCATTTTAGCTTTCTCAGAAAAAGAGATTTTTCTGTAACCTTTTCAGCAGCTAAGTAGTTTTGAAACAAGCATTTCCAAGCAGAGGAGAATGACACAATCTGGTTGTACTTGAATCTTTTTGAGTGATGTGTGACATCCTCGTGATGAGGGAGGAGGAGGAGGAGAAGGGTGCTCTACAAAACACCATAGAATCAGGGAACTTGTGCATCCTACCTCTGTGGAAATCGAGTGTGCCAGGGTAATTCATGAAGAGCAATGCCAGCTACTGCTCTCTCTGTGAAGACTTGTTGAGTTTTAATTCTTTGCACAAGTTTAGACTGACCATGATACAAACCAATGAATACTGTGTATATTCCCTGGGAGCCTTTCCTATGTGTTAATGGTAACTAAAAATGGACCTCTTCAGCCTTGCTCTCAGCAGGAGGGATTTGCAATAAAAATCTTGAAGAACATTGTGTCCCACTTTTTCCAATAAAAGTAAATATTTGTTTCCTATTCAATTTTTAATGTATTTTATGATGTGTTGCAGCTTCTCTTTCTATCTATAACATGATACTAATGATGCAAAGTCATATTGCCATGAGAATTCTCCCACTAGAGTCTAGAGTCCAGGAAGCTTCTTTTATTCTGGAGAAGCTGTGATCCAGCTGTGGTTCACAACACAGTTGTTTCTCAGCACTGCTGAAATCTGGTGCATTGACTAGTTATTATGTGAAGGTTTCTTTAGATTATTTATAATTTTGTCTGCTTGTAGTGACAATGTTATGAGATGAGTGAAGTTGTTTTGTGGTGGTACAGTAACTTGGGCCTTATGAGGAGTGCAGCCAGCCTGATACAAAGATCCATTTCCTTTAACTGTTGTTTTGAGTGTAAATTGAAACAAACTGCAGGGTCAGCCAGCAGCTGAAAGCTTGTTATACAGCAGATGTAAGTATTTTTTATCTTTTTGAAATGACAGATACTTTGGATGAATATTTTGAGTATGAAGCTGAGGAGTTCCTGGTCTCCTTGGCCTTGTTGATCACGGAAGGTCGAACGCCCGAGTATTCGATCAAGGGCAGAACAGAGGGCTTTCATTGCCCACCGGCACAATCAAGTCAGCCGCCAACAACTAAGCATGAATGCAGTGACAAACTGGCTCAGGTATGATGGTACCCGTTTCATTTTAAGTGCCGTGGCATACATCCTTGCTACTATGATTAAAGTTAGCTGAGAACTCCACGGTAGATTCACAGTTAAGCATGAATAACAATTGCTTTCTGTCAGTCCTGCGTTTAAATGAGCATGTAGTTCAGTATTATACTAATAATAGATCTGTCCTCAGAATGAGAGATCATTAAACCTTTTATCCTTGAACATGAAATTCTGCACGACTACCTGAATGCAGTACCTATTAGAGGTTTTTTGCATAATAAATTTGCATTTATTATGCAAATGAAGAGTGCTATACTTGGCATTCTCGGTCTGTGGGTTTTGGGTTTTAGTTTTTTGTTTTTGTTTTTTTTTTTTTTTTTTAATGTAGGCTGACTTGCCTAACCTTTTGCCTTTCCAGGTATTCTTTAAAAGTTAGCAATCCCAAAATGACATCAAATCTAGTCTATCTGGGAGTAAGGTTGGACCATCCCATCTCTCAAGTACATGTTTATAAGTGCTATGTGAATTTAAGTTATTATTCATGCAGCATTTGGCCTTCTTCAAGACAGAATTTATAAAGACACTGATTCAGTTTGTTTATCCAAGAGAACAATTTGTGGAGAGAGAAATAGAAGGTAGCAAAGTATAGTGATTGGTGAAATGTATTTTTATGAGCTCTTTTTCTACAAAAGTTGCTCAGATGTCAACCACAAAGGATTTGTTAATTATTTTTCATTTAATAGCTGTGGAATCTTATCTCTGATTTGATGAAACCTAGTTTGCAGAATTTGACCCTTACCCTTTTCCAGTACTTTGGAACATGTTTGTAAAGTAGATATAAATCTGGCTAGTATTTTTATGGCTTGCATGTGTTGACATTTTTTTCTTTCCCTCAGTGTCGTCAAGCCAGGCGAACCAGATCTGAGGTTATGCTACTGTGGAAGAACAATATTCCAATCATGGTAGAAGTGATGCTACTTCCAGACTGTTGCTATAGTGATGAAGGGCCCACCTCTGAGGGGAATGATTTAAATGATCCTGCAATCAAACAAGATGCATTGCTGTTAGAAAGGTGGATTTTGGAGCCAGTTCCTCGCCAGTAAGTTAGATATTAGGATTAGCTGATAATTAGAAGAATCTTGTCATATTAAAGTCCTTAAGGTATTCAATTAGTGGTTTTGAACTGGCCCTTGGCCATGAGGACTGCTTTAAGAAAACCAGTATTTACCAGTGAAATCTAAGCATCTTTTAATCTTAGCCTTCCTGTACTCATACTTTGTGCAGTGCACATTGTGCAATGCAGAGTATGAAATGTTCTTAGTTGAATATGGTTATTCATTATGTTAAATTGTATAAATTATTGTGTGGATAAAACCAAATCAAGTTCTGTAATCTTCAAAATGTTTTGGGCAGTTTCATTGTTTTGCTTAATTCAGCTGTGTTTTATTTTCAGAATGAAGATCTGAAAATGTTCTAGTTCTAATAATTCTCTGTATATTTTTCCCAACACCCATGTGCTTCTCTTAATACATTTTAGGAGTGGAGATCGATTTATTGAAGAGAAGACCCTTTTATTGGCTGTTCGCTCTTTTGTTTTCTTCTCTCAGCTAAGTGCGTGGCTGAGTGTTTCACATGGTGCTGTTCCCCGAAACATTCTGTACAGGTATGTCTGGGATGGAAAAAAACCTCATTTGCTGTTTGCAGGTTGTTGCAATTTGTCTTAAAACCATTCTTCCCTCCTATTTTTCCTGTTTGCTCTCAGAAGGTGCCATGTCATTGCTGGCCCAGTACTTTGGCGGTTGTATAGGATTCTTATACTTGGCAAAGTAGAGCAGTTGATGGTGTCTGCAGTGCTTTTTCTTAGACATTTGTGTTTTGAAGTAGATAGACTCTTCACTTAGATATTTCTGTAAATGACCTTCTCTGTTGTTTCAGGGTGAGCGCTGCAGATGTGGACTTGCAATGGACATTCTCCCAGACACCAACTGAGCATGTCTTTCCTGTTCCTAATGTTTCTCACAATGTGGCCTTGAGAGTCAGTGTCCAGTCCTTGCCCAGACAATCAAACTACCCAGTTTTGACCTGTAGTATTCACACCAACCTTAGCTTTTACGAAAAGCGAATGCAAGACCGTAAGTTACTTCAGCACAGCGATTCCAGTGCGGCACAGCAATGCAGCACCTCCAGTTCACAGCGCTTCTGTGGGAAACAGACATGGACAATGACACCTGAAGGCCTGCTTAATGGAAAAAAGACGCCTGAATTTACTACATCTATCAGAAATTTAAAACTTTATCCATCCACCGGACTTGGATCTGACTTTGGGGCATCACAGTCTAAAGTTCAGTGCTATAATGCTACAGCAGACAGTAAGACACAATCTCACGAAAAGCCTGTCAGAACTTTTAAATCCTTTTCACTAGTTGATTCCCGTGTTTCAAATAGTCATTGCTCCCATCAGCCCACAGGAGAAACCAATCCTTTGATAGGCTCTTTACTTCAAGAGCGACAAGAAGTCATCGCAAGGATTGCTCAGCACTTGATTCACTGTGATCCAGCTACTTCACCAGTTGTTGCTGGACGTCCATTCAACATACATGAAAACAGCTCGGTTACACCAAAAGCTTTTCGGAGTAGTTATGAAGAGGAAAACTTACCAAGGAAAGGCAAGGAAACCTCCCCTGTTTCTGTTGCCAACCTAGACAATGCAATACAAGAAGATGGTGGCGAAGGCAAAACTAGAGCAATACCAGAGATCACACTGCTTGACACCCGTGTTCCAGTGAACCACTGTGGCCGTCAGTCGGCAGGAGAGTGCAATCCCCTGATCGATTCTCTGCTCCAAGAGCGGCAGGAGGTGATAGCGAGGATTGCCCAACACCTGATTCATTGTGATCCAGCCACTTCTCATGTTACTGGACGTCCATTCAAAGCACATGAGACTAGCCCAGTTACTTCAAAAATTTTCCGAAGTACATATGAAGATGAAAATTTGCTGAAGAAATGCAAGGAACCGTCTCCTGTTCCTTTTGCTAAATCTGATTTTTCTTTGTTAGAAGAGAGCAGTAAATCAAAGACGAAGACACCTGATACTCCTATCAGTCCTTCTAGGTTTGATGGAGAATTGAAAGCTTCTCTGAAACTCCAGGCAAGAAGAAAATTGGTTTTAGCAAAACCCAGTGAAGCTGTCCGAAATGCATTTCACCAGACTTCAAATAAAACTTCTCATGCATTTACTAACATTCACACATCATCATCATGTATTAAAGAAAACAAATCTGAATCACCAGATAAATTTGAAACGATACATTTTGGTTATGCACAGAAAGACCAGATAACCAACAGAATTAAACAGTGTTCAAATTTCAGCAGCATTGATGAACAGATTTGCACAAATAAACTTAAAGAAAGAACAGTTGTTAGTGAGAACAATGGCATGGACAGTTTTAACAATTTACAGATAGATAAATGCAGAATACTTGAAGGTACAAAAAAAGCAACTGTGATGCAGGTATCTGACTCTTTGCACAAAAATGAGCTCAAGTGTTTAGATAAAGACTCAAAAAAACCAAATATTTATGAGCAAAATACTCAGCTTATTAGTATTGAAAATTATTTAAATAAAGACCATGACAGTTTCAAAAACAAAACCAAACAGGATAAAATGAAAACTGCACATGATGAGAATGAAGACCCAATAGGCCTTGATTTCCAAAGCACTTGTCAGAAGAAACCTACAGAAGATGGCATAGTTAAGTGTGAGCGGCTGAAGAACCCAGATGTACAGGTAAATACATAAGGGAAAAGACCAATTCCTATAGCTGCTCTTAGTCAGATAGCTTGTACCTAAATACCTGCTAAGGACCAATATGAAGAGGGATTTAAGTCTGACTTCATAGGAAGCAGCATGTTACTATTGTCGTCTTAGTCTGAGGTAACGTTTGGCCGGTAGTGCCTCCCCCATACCTTCCTTAATTGTAAGTTTAACATTGAGAAGAGCATTGTCTTATTCTGCTCATGGTGATAGCATTACGAATGATAGTTTTCATAGGCAGTTAGGCATCCTGTCTTTTTATAGATTTACTAGTGTCTGAATATGGTATGTGATCTTTAGTGAATAGCCTGTGTGACTGTAGATTGAGTCAAGGGGAATTTATACTGAATATTCCATAATATGCTAGTGAGATGCAGATCCACCTGGTTCAGAAGCCTTCCCCATTACAGCATGCACAGTATTGCCATGATAGGCCATTGAAGTATCACACTTATATCTTGAGTAAATTTGTTTTGCTAACAGAAAGCACCATCTCTAAAAAACACAAATATATGGCGGAAACATAATTTTCGATCCTTGGACGGAACTTCAACCAAGGCTTTTCATCCCAGAACTGGATTGCCTCTGCTTTCAAGTCCTGTAAGTTTATTGTTGAAATTATAACTTACCTTTTCAATGAGAAAGGAAGGATTTTGTTCTTTTAAGATCTGTGTATGGTAGAAAATTTGATAAATGACCTAGGTGAAGTGTGTGTGTTTTACTTTCAGTGTCAGAGTGAATACTCTTGCAAGTGGAAATTTGAGAGTTAACACTCCAATGAAGTTGGAAAAGAAAATATTAAAGAGATAGTTGTTGAGATACTATCAAGATTAACACAAGGTGACATTAGAAAATTCTATGGCAAAAAAAAACCCCTTTGGTGATACTTTAGAGCACGAGGGAAAGCATTTTGATGATTCATGTTCTAAGTGTAAGCAAATGTATTTTGTCATTTAAGAGTTTGTGTGAGTTATTAATACCTGATTGTCTATTATTCCAAAGCTTTTGTTTCTGTGAACAGTTTGTACCATATATTCTTCAGCAATCAGAGATTTCATTGAATGACTAAGTGATACAAAGCTGCTGTGTTAAGACAGAAAGACACTGGGGAAGTGTAACAGTTCTTGGTAGGTTGTTGGGAGTTTTAGAGAAAAAGACAGTCCCAATTAAAACTACTGAAGTAGTGATGTTCTGTAATCAAGACATGATATGTTTTATTCTTCAGTGCTTGTAAAGGCTGTCATATTTTCAGGGAACTTGGATGAAAATTGTTACAGCCTGTTTATTACTAATGTTCTGTACTGTTCCAAAGAGACATCAGCCTCTTGAATAAGTCTTTATTTAAGTACTTCCTGTTAATCAGGATTTACAGTCTTGTCATTAATTTTAGAATTTTCTTCACTAACTTTACAATGTATAGGGACTGCTCTCTTCTGCTGTTTTTATAATTTTGTAATGTCATGAAAATTCTTGGCAAACTTGTGCTTACTTGGCAAAATTGTCCTTATTAGAGATACAGCTTTCAAATTAGCATATTCTTTTCCTCTTGAGGTTCCTCAAAGAAAAACACAGTCTGGATGCTTTGATCTGGATTCATCACTGCTGCAGTTGAAATGTCTGTCTGCAAGAAGGTATGTATGTTTTATTTACCAGAAACATTTAGAATTTTAGAGGACACATAGTATATATACGTATCTGTATGCAACAGTAAAGCATGTTAGCAAAGACAAAAAATGGGTGCCTTTCAAAAGAATCCTTATTTTGAAATAAGGCCTGGCAGCTGAGTTGCCCCAGGGCTTTCCAGATTAGCAGAGCTCTGGGACATAACTATGGTATGAGAGCTGCTGCCAGGAAAAACTGTCCTGTGCAGGGGTAGGTATGCTGTAAGAGACACTTGAAATTTAAACAGAAAATATAGTAATTGTTGATTCTTTTTCAGATCAGTGTTATTTTCGTGTTCTGTTTTCTTCTTAGGGTTGAACAGGTTAAACATTTTGCCTTAACTTGTTGAGAGAACTTAATTCTTAAAAGGGACTGACCGTGATGTTTTGCGCATGAATAAAAGTACCATAAACAGTTTTTAGTATTGTAGTTTTATGTTGGAAACATCGGGATATGAGACAAAAATACCTGCATACAAGAGAAAATAATCTGATACTTTGGTTCCTGCTAATAGAGTTAATGAGCAACCTAAATTTTTAATGTCTTTCCCTTGTAATGTAAAACTTGGGAAAGTATTTTTTCAGTTAACTAGAAAATGTTTTGCTAAAGGATTAACAGGCAATAATCAACTGTTACTTCTTTAGAACAACATTTTGTAATACAGTAAGTAAACGATTCTTTCTTAGAGCTGTTTATATCCAGAAGACAAAAGCAAATGTGTTTTATCCTTTATATTTATTCTATCTTTTTTTTTTAATAGCCCACAACAATGTATAAACAGAGACAGTGATCCAGAGAGCCATGGGAAACCATTTCTAAGTTCTAGTGCTCCACCACTAACAAGTCTTAGCCTTCTGGGAAACTTTGAGGTATTGCATATTCTCTAGAATTCTTGTGGTATTTTTAGTATTCTTCTGTACTGCTTTTAAAAGTGCATTACTGTGAATAATTCCAGCCCAATTACAATGTAAAAGTTCATAATTGAATTGAATAAAATTTGTTTTAATTTCCAGCTATAAAGGCATGTATTTTATGCCTCAGAGATTTTGTCTCAGATTCAGATACAATGAGTTTGATTATAACTTTTATTTTGCACTATGGTCAAGTTAAGAGGTGTTCTGTTGACATGGGATTTAGCAACTTGTAATTGTTCATGTTTATAATGCATATACCTCAAAAAAAGGATTTACATTTTTACTCTTGAAGTCTACTTAGTATGTCACAAAAGCTGTGTTAAAACAGTGTAATAAACAGAACGTATTTGAAGTGTAGCCTCCAGCTTTTCACTTCATGTAACATAATGAGTGGTTTCATACTCCATATTTGTGAAGTATGGAGTGAATATGTGGAGGAAAGTTGCAGATTCTAGATTATCAATTTTTTTCAGATAGTATATGTCAAGGGAAATCATGCATAGATCCTGCTGCAATAAAATTCTCTGTGGGCTTTTGCACTAGTTTCAGTAGGATTCAGTAGGACTGGACTTGGATGATGCTTTCTCTTAAGCCACTATTGTCTCGCTGACTTGTTCTGCTGTTCATCACCATTTTTGCCTCAGTGTTGATTTTTGGCAGGTCACCTTACAAAAGACCCGAGTTCTTACATAAACTTGTTTTCTTGTTTGCTGGCTATATTCTATTCAAGGTGTTCCCAACTGAAGCTGTATGTGTTTCGTTTTTCAGGAATCTGTCCTGAATTTTCGCTTAGACCCGCTTGGTGTCGTGGAGGGTTTCACAGCAGAAGTGGGAGCAAGTGGAGTCTTTTGTCCCACGCACATGACTCTGCCAGTTGAAGTGTCATTCTACAGTGTTTCAGATGATAATGCACCATCTCCTTACATGGTAAGTGTGTGGTTGGATTTATTTTAAATTCTGATAGATGGAGGTGAAGAACAAGAGCTCAGTGAGTAGAGGGTTCAAGAAGCGGGGATTTGCAGGGACCTGGATTATTTTCAACTGCTTATGATGGAGTTCTCCTGTCCCTCCTTCCTTTTCCTAACTAGTGCTTTTCCTCCCATGGCTCTGCCCTACCATCTAACTGCTCTCATTTTGGGATAGTAAATATATTTGTCTCCCTCCACCGTGGAGTGATCAACACCTCCCATCTCTTTTTACCCATCTGACTTAAAATAGGCAGTGAGGCAATAGTTGGACTTAATAGGATACATTTTGTTGTCCCAACAAGCAGCTGCCCTGGGCAACTAACCACTCTGCTAGCAAGTGGCTTAGGTGTGGGCCAAGGTACAGTTACTGATGGAGACTGTAGACTCAGAAGTTATTCATCCTTTTCTTTTAAAGCAAATGTTGTCTGAGCTAGCGTGACACAAGGCACTCTTACAAGCTGCATGGTTTGCTGATGTTTGCACTAACACAGTACTTGTGTTCTCAGTATCTGTGTGCTAATTCTGTTCCACATTTCTACAATGACAGCACGGTTGTGGGTTGTCTAGAGAGCTTCCGTGTAAAAAGTGAAAAATGTCTTGTGTACTAGCATTGAATCAGATGGCTGCATTTGTTCTGAATGCCTGTTAAGGAACCTCAATGTTACCTGGGTGACAGATCTAATTTTTAGAGGTTTTCATGTGTAAGTTTGTCTAACATATGGTAAACAGTCTGTTTCAACATGTGAGTAAAGCATTGAACATCTAATTATCCTAATATTTAGATTTTAAACTCATAGTACTCACAGTATTTCTGACCTTCTGTTTTTAAAAGTTTGCATAATAGCGTTTAAACTTGTCTATGTCTTCCCTTAACCCCTGCAAAGAAGTATCTACTGTTTTGCTTTCATCTTTCTAGATTATTTCACGTGATTTTCCAGGAGGTGAAGGGATTCTGATGTTCCTCAAATGGTTAAAGTAGCATTGCTTATTTTCCTAGCTGGGTTTCATTGTTTCAGGCTTTTCCAAATGCTCTAAACATGCTATTATGGCTGAGTCTCCCAGGATTAATACAACATTTGTATAGTGCCTCCATCATCAGAAACATTGTTTCTGTGTGTATAGATAGTTTCTCTGCTCTGGGATTTTTTTTTTGTTGTTTGTTTGGGGTTGTGGGTTGTTTTTTTTTAAGTCCAGTGCAGGGAGGTATGACAGTTGTGCACTGCAGGTTAATCAGACGTGTGGTCTAAGGCAGTACCCTAAGGGTGGCCTCAGCAGGGTTACAGCCCAGCGTGGGACACTCGGATGCTTTGTAGATCACAACTGGTACAAAAGCAGATGTCATCATTGCTAAAGTTTGGATTAGAATGGAAGATTAAGTACATCTGCTGCCTTTGAAAAGCAGAAATTAGTTCTGTGAGATTTGGAGTATTATTGATGCAATTGTAAGTGATATAAAAATGGAAAGGAGGAGACAAATCTTCCATTTTAACTTACAAGCTATTTTGAAAAAAAGCTCTGTTTTGCTGTAGCTTCCTGACTACTAGTTTGAAGATGTGGAAACTTGGATCTTGTTTCAAGAGGAGAATGTACCTCTTTTGCATTCTTTTTCAAGAGGAGAATGCACATCTTTTAATGAACTGCCAAAGTATCTGTAAGGCCCCTACTGTTGACTTTTAACTACACCTTAAATGCATTGACTTGTCCATTTTTAGTTTTTATACATTGCTGATTGTTTTTTGAATTAATACAATTAAATGAATAGAACGTTTTGATTTGTTTATGTCTATCCCTGTGAACTAACCGTGTCTTTTTTTTCTAGGGTGTAATTACTTTAGAGTCCCTTGGTAAAAGGGGTTATCGGGTACCGCCTTCAGGAACAATACAAGTGGTACGTACTCGGCAGATACAGGTGCCTTGAAACCACTAATTTCAAGAAAGTCATGCAGAGGAGATGAGGTTATTGGAGATGAGCATGAAGCTAGCAATGGAAATGTGCATCTCTGTAGGTATTGTAGTTATTCAGAGTAGAAATCTGTATGTAATTTGTGGGACAAAAAAGACACTCCCAACCTTTGAACGCATCTGTCCTGTGAAGAGACTTGAAATCAGTTGCTGAAGATTCAGAATAGTTGGGGACACCGTGGCTTTGAAGAAGTAATGGAGAATTAATTAGGCCACAGCCCAAATAATGAAATCCTTCCAAAGGGATTAAGATTAAATACTCAGTTGTATCTAAATTTTGTAACATTTTAACACCACCTATTTTTTGTGAGAAAACAGGAAAGTAAATCAGTCATTGCTTTGAACCAATGATCTGCCTCTTTCTTTTCAGAACCCATTCCAGGGTAACACATTGGTAATTTCAGGTTTAAAAGTGGAGCCCACCACTGTGCTTCCCGTGAGCATATTGTGTCTAGAAAACAGTGTAGGTAAAAAGCTGACTGGAAAAATAAACAAAAATAGGGATGCAGATTAGCAAAGTAACAGTAGTCATATACTCGTGTTTCATCCAGATTAGGTTGTGTTTAGTATTACATTTGAAAATAGGAATTGCTAGTATCTGAAGTTATGTAAAAACATTGTGCAGTTTTTCTGTTTTCAACAACACTTCTGTATGCCACTGGAAGAAAGTACATAGAGGACCCATGACTATTTTGGCAGATGGGAGGTTGTGTGTGTTTGTTGTTTGTTTTGGGTTTTTTTTTTAATTTGTCACCCCTAAAGAGTACTGTATCAAACTGTTTGTCTTTTCAGACCTTATTTAACCCTAACAAAACTGTGGTGAAGATGTTTGTGGTGATCTATGACTTGAGAGAAATGCCAGCTAATCATCAAACATTCCTACGGCAAAGAACTTTTTCTGTTCCTGTGAGACGAGAAGTCAAGAGAACTGTCAATAGAGAAAATAATCAACAGACTGAAGAAAGGCTACTACGCTACCTCATACATCTGAGGTAAGCTTCTTGGAGTTAAAAAAAACAAACCAAAACAAAACAAAAACAAACCCACAAAGACCAAGTACCTGCCAAAATTTATCTTGTGATTTCTTTCCCAGCTAACCTTTATGTACACAGACTTACTTTTAAAAATTGATGCTTTTAACTTGGTCTTTCAGCTTGACAGTAGAGGAAGAAGAGCTAATAATTAATTTGGATTCTGTTTGGGGGAAACAGAGCTAAAATATAAAGCTCTTGACGTTGAATTATTTTATATAGCCTTTTAAAGCTTAATTTTTTCTTAGCAAGAGAGATTTAGTTCTGGATGGATCAATCTACTTTTTTTTGAGGTTACAGGAAATGGTGAGTGTGGATGTTACATGGGCAAATGCCAAAACTAAGGACCAATGTAGAGAAGGTGCTCAGTGTCCTACATGCATGCCCCATTACCAGAATAGCTTGTAACATGAAAAGCATTTCTAAGTTACTCCTAAAAATATGGTGTTTGGTGGTAAAAATGTATACTTATTTCATGATGCAATACTGCTGATAATGCCTTTCACTTTATAAAATATTCACACAATCTTCCTTAAATGATTTACAAAGCATTGCCTGAAACCAGATTTCTTGGGATATTCTGGAGACTGCAGTTCGAAGCAGAGGAGGAATGATGGATATACTCTGTCCTTCTGCAGTTTGCAGACTTCTGCCTGCGTTATTGTAGTAAACAAACCACATACGTGCAGACTCAGTGCTTTCATTGCAGCACTTCAAAACCCAGTGGCAGCTGACATTCTGAAGCAAACTATCAGAACAAAATCAAATACCTTAAACTTTTCACTTTACCTTGTTGTAGAATTACTTCTGGTGCATGTTATTTTCCCTATTTAGTAGCATTGATTTCCACCCAGCAGACTTTTGGAACACAGCTTTGTATAGGGCAGTGATTCCAGGTCAAGCTTTCCTGTTAAATGAAAGTTGACAGTCATAAAAAATGCGTGTTGGTTTACTGGAGTATCAAAATAGCATCACGATGAGACGGAACTGTTTTCATTCTGAATTTTAGCCTGGATTGAAATTCATCCTTTCAGGCTTCACTAACTTGCTATGTCAGACTTAACCACCCCCTAAAAATTTTCTTTAGGGGCAAATTCTGAAAAAATGTGTGTAGCCCAAATAAAAGGCTCAATTCACTTATAATGTTGATCTAACTGATGCAGTGGAACTGGGGACAGGCATCAGCTACAGAGGTGGGCAAAAATCTGTGGCCAACCAGGTCTGGCATACAGGCATGAAGAGTAGATGACTTGTGTCTCCTTTCAATTTCTGCTTTAGTGTAGTTTGTAAATTTGTTGTAGACAGACCCAGTAATTACTTTCATGAGCTTCCTATTTCTTATAGCTGCTGAGAGACATAAATGTAGCAGTTCTGATGCTTCTAGCTTTGAAATACCTGTACAGTTTTGCTCAGCTTTCAGACCTTTGGTAGAGATCAACTCATGGATTTATAATGTATATTTGGAAATGCATCAATTTCCGGCTGGAAAAATAAGTTGATAATAAAAATGCTCAGCTGCTTGCTTTGGAAAGTGAATACCTACGAAGTATGGCAGAAGATTTTTGCTTCAGAGGTGAACCCAAACAGTGGGTCTTCTCTCATAATGGAAGAACTGCAAAAGTCCTTGAAATATTCTGGTAGTTTATGCTGATCTGTCTTGTGATTTAGTTTACAGAGAACTTCAGATTTTACAAAAGACTCAGTTGTCAATCTAGTAACCTTCTTTACTAAAGATGGATTTTAATTATGAGACCGTAAAAAGTCTTGGTAGTATATTAATTCATATGTAAGGTGGTTTAAAACTCCATTTTTAAAAGTGGCAGTGTTTCCTCAAACCTGTTTTACTGAAAACTTACATATGTAAAAAATTTAAACTATTGAAATTTTTTTTTTGGTTACACAGGTTGGCTTAGAACAGCATTTCAGTTTCAGTTGCAGTAGTTGCTGAAAGCAAGCATCTTAAGCTTACATGTTGAAATTTTGCTTAAAAAACCAAATGAAGTCACCACCAGTAAGCTGCATTGTGGTCGCATCTGCTCGCGAGGCCTTAATCGCAGTTGTCAGCAATCACATTATGAAAGCTTCTTTTCAAGTGGTAATTCAGTAAAAATGCTTGCATAGGTCTGGAACTTAACACTGGCAGCCAGATTTTCTACAACATTCTTTTAAAATGTCAAATTTATTGTGTATGCAGCTTCTGCATGTAGTTTTGTATGTTTGAGATACTGTTCAATATGCCATTAGATTGTATTTGTACCCACAGCTACAGTATTGATATAAAATATAGCTTGCACGGACAGGAGAGCTTTATTCAATATAAGAAAATCAGGAGTTGCACCTGCAGTTTAAGTAATTTCTTGAAGCTGCTTTGGGGTTAAGTTTTTTGCTGCATGTGAAGCTAGGATTTTTGCATTGTAATTAAATCCACATGAGCAGAAGAGCCATGAGTCCAGCTCATGCCTCATTTCTGCCCAGTGTTGAGGGTGACGACCATCCATTGGTTTCTAGGTCACATTCTGGCAACCCTATAAAAGGTAATTAAACAGTTAACGTACCCACAGCTCAGCATTCTTGAAGTTTTTAAAGCTTGGTCAACAGCTTTAGTTACTGACATATTGCCCCTTTTAATTGCATGGAGCATGATTGTCGTTGCTTAACAGCTAAACAAGGGTTGTTACTGAAGGCTAGGTAGAGGGTAAGTTTGAAACTGGTTGTTAAAAGTAGTGATTCCTCAAGGTGTTGAGAAACTTTTTAAAAAAAATATTTTCCTAATGTGGCATATGATACATTTACTAGTAGAAGCTGAAAATACCTGCTATTACTGATTTACTAGTTGCTTTTTGATCTGTATGATATCTCAGCATTTTTCCTGATCTAGAAATTTGTATCCTTGTCCTAATGATTTTACTTACAGATTTTAGAGGTTTTGTATAGTCTTCCACTTGCAAAATGTGTCTTGCTACATATGTTTTTGTGATCATCCTGTTTCTGTGGCTTACTTTGTTCTTTGTGAATTTTGATGGCCTATAAAATATATATAGGGGTTTGGGGATTGTATTTGTCATTTCTTCAGTAGTGTTTATCACTTTCTTTCCTCTGCCAGACTTTCTAGCTCATCTGATATTTGTATGCTTCAGCCTTTCCTGTATTTGTCTATTGTTACTGTTCCTATGACACCATCTGTCAGAACTCTGTTGTGTTTTTCTTGATTCCATTACACAAAACTACTGGAGCCTCCACAGCCCTGGAGCCAGTCCCATGCTGGCCACTGCATCACCACCCCACAAGGGTGTATGTAATGGCTGTCTCTTGGTTATTCTAAGGTATTTGCATGTATGAAAAGCAACATTCTAAATACCAATTACTACAATAAACACTTCTCAAAGAAAAAAAATTAGGTGATGGAAGTGGAGATGAGGACTTCCCTGAACTTTGTTGTTGTCTTCCACTCCTCCTGCAATCTTTGTGAAATGTTGTGCTCAGAAAAGCCATGTTCTAGGGAGGCATTATTTACTGGGTGTAAAGGAGGTCTGGCAGGATTCTCATTAATAGAAAATAGTAAGTTTGAGAAATTTGAAAATAGACCTTGCTAATTATTTTCTGATAGATCCATGTGTAAAATGGGAATTGAGCTCTACTTTATGATGGTGCTTTCATAACTAGACTTATCTATTCTATACGAATTCATTTCAATCATATTTTTGCTGCAAAAGATCTTTCAATAATTTTTTTCATTTTAAAATGTCTTGAGCTACATGCTGAATTAGCTGTGTGTCGTGTTCAGTTTGTCCCTCACCTCTTACACTCTTCCTTTTTGTGCTCTTCTCCGGAGTCTTCTCTTAAGATAGAATCTTCTCCCATTTTCCTACCACGTAAAGGGCTTTCACACTGACAGAACTGAGCACATAAATAGTGATGGATGGGAGCTCTGTGGGAGTCAGTAAGAGCATTCTGCCAGACCCCACCACATTTAATGCCCTTAACAGCTATATCTAGGAGAGCAGAATTTTCATTCGTCTGGGGATGACTGCAGGGTATTCTGCACCACATGTATGACCAAAACAGTGGCACCAGAACCTATTTCTACAACCTGCCCACCCCAGACAAAAACTTTGATGTACCTTTGTAGTCTTCTACCTCTCAGAATTTCAGTCTGATTATGTCTATATTTATTCTAGAGATACTACTTTTGCTTCAGTGGGGTCAATGAGTAAATGCTTATTAAAAATCTGTGCAAATTGTAATACATGTGATACTATAGTGCGCATTGCTCTCTCAGCATTTGTAATGGTATCATTTTGTCATTACAATAGCATAGCTTTCTGTTTATATTTCTATCACAGTAGCAATAGCTTTTCTCCCTTGCCATGGCATAGTGATAGTGATGTTAAATTCAGTTGCCACAAGAAATGTTCCTTAGGGTCTCCTGCCTTTCCTGGTCACAGGAAGGAAATGAAGTTCTGCCAGATGAAGTCTAACAGAACACAGTTCTCTGAAATGCAGATCTCATCTCTTTATACATAGCTGTTAAATCTCATGGAAAGTGGAACTGGCACATTCCTGGCAGATTTGGAGGGACCTGAATTGGGCTGTTTAGCTGCAGCATGAAACATAAGTGGGCCCAGGAATGGGTTGCTGTTTACTTTCGGTGATTGGGCCAGTGAACTATAGTCTCTTTGAAATAGCTTTATATTCTGTGCAAAAAACTTTTTTTCTGTCTGCCTGCAGAGATGCCTGTACTTACCACTTCCTAAATTGGACTTAAATTTGGTGTGTGGTATAAAGCAATAGTAAACTTCTTGATGGTACATTCATAGAGAGCAGTGAAATCTGTCTGTGACAGCTAGCACCAAAATATATATTTGTATATATGCCTTTGTTGATATTTGAACCTTCCCTTTTGTGTGTGCTTAGGCCACCCTTTCGGCATTTTCAGGAGTGCTCACTGAAGAGCGCTTTTTGCCTTTCTAGATTGCTGAGAACTTTAATCTTCAACATACATGATTGCAGTGTGAACTTCAAATATTCCATGCCATTTTCAAAGCTGTGCACTACATTGGTGATTAAGAACAGAATATTTAAACGATAAAGGAAACAAAATAGATTGAAAATGTTAGGTTATTCTTTCTTATTTCAAGTGACTAATTTTATATGTTAAAATGTTTTTTGGCTTTGATCTCTTAAAGAATCACTAATTTAATAATATTTAAAGATGAATATTTTGTTTTAGATAATACAGATATTTGTATCTTTTCAGGTTCCAGAGTTCCAAATCTGGAAAGATCTACCTCCACAGAGATGTAAGGCTCCTATTCTCTCGGAAATCCATGGAAGTTGATAGTGGCGCTGCATATGAACTAAAATCTTACACTGAATCTCCAACAAATCCTCAGTTTTCACCAAGATGCTAGCAAACAATGGAAAAGTATTTGTTTTGCTGTTGATTACTCCTTACAAGCGAAGATTGGTAGAGATGACAGTATAAAGTTAAGTCTGTAAAGGAATGAAAATAGCGCTCAAGAGAGAAGGTTCTTATGTGATCCTGGACCAGTTTTTAAAAGGTTTCTGGAATGAGCTTTGTGTATTCCAAGTAGACTGGAAACATACTTAAATATAATCTTTTTGTACTGTTTAAAACCACTTCGTTGGATGTGTTGCAATAGCAAATTCCCAAGTTAGTTTAGTGTTTACACTTTTTATTTTATTTTTCAGTTATTTAATATTTAATGTTTCATTTAATACTCAAGTGATGTTTGTCTTTAGTGTTCTAATGTAGCATAAATCCTATGTAAAATCATACTATGTATTTTTGGCATTAATATTGAAATCTGAAATATATACAGATGTCTTTAATCTGTGTGATGTTTTAAGTGATATTCATTTAATTTATTGAAAATGGGGACAACAGGTGAATTTCCATAACATTTCATACTATGCAAGCATTTAGTTTTTTTCTCTTTAATGGTGCCCTTCTTTTTTTTTTTTTTTCCTCATATACAGATTTAGTAATACTTGCAACCATAGTGCAAATTGTTTATTTACCTACTCATGCATTCAGATCATTGCTTCAATTCATATTTTGCTCCCACAAGTTCTTTTCTTAAGGGCCACTTTTATTTTGCTTTTTTAATAGTTTTCCTCACATAAAACAAGCGCCCTTCCCCATTTGATTACTCAGATTGTGTTAAAGGATGTATTGTGCAAACAAATTAGTATTTATATCTTAAATATATGCAAAAGCTATGAAACTTGTACTTTTTGTTTTATTTTTAGATAAGGAGGATCTTCATGTAATCCTAAATATTTTTAATAGGTCAACTCCACTTAGGCCACTAGGTGGCCATAGGAAGTTTTACTAGAAATGCTACATTGGGCATATAAATATTTTCCAATATGTATGTGTATTCCTAAAACAAAACACAGTCAGATAAACAGTTTATGCTAAGTGTTGAACTGTGTAACTGAGAAATAAAGCTAGAAACATTTGATTATATTTGAGATATATATTTAATAATGAAAATGAACCTTTACATTGTTTGCTGAAGATCTCGGTTTCTCAACTGTCTTGCCTTGGTTTATATGTTTTACTTAACATCACTGTAGGTTTTCAGAGTGTCAGTAATATGAAAGGTGACCTTCACATTTGGGAGTATAACATGCTTATCTGATGAAGACTCTGGAGAAACAATGAACGTGCATCTTGTATATTCAGCACTGCCCTTAGATGAGAGGAGAAGTCAGCGTATCGTGAAATCTCCAGGAAGTCTGCCAGGGAAAGTAAGGGAGACCAGACTTTCCAGATGATACTTATCAACTATCTTGTATATTCAAATGAATCTTGCTACAGAAGGGCAAAGCTCAGATATTACTGAGACCATTCCCCACTTCATCAGTACTTTCCCCTCTGTTACAGTAAGTTTTCAAAGGTTAGCTAGCATTTATTTTGTAGAGACTTGGGAAAAACTGTACAGGAAGAGATTGTTTGCAATTTCTAGTCATTTGTGTGCCCTGTAGAACTGAGATGAGGTTTCTTTTGGTAGCAGAAGGGTCAAATACAACTGCATTTGTACTGTGTACAGAACTAGGATTTAGACTAGTATAATGAGAATGTGTCCTAGTTTTTCCTAGCATATGTCCTCAAAGTACTCATTTGTGTCATGGTGCACATCTGCTTGCATACTTGACAAAAAAAGATGAGAGAAGGCCAGACTTCTATTGGAAAGTCACAATTCATCTGTAGTAGATTAACCTTTTATTTTGGACTGACAATATGTAATGTTTGTATCTTGGTAACTTTAAATGACTTCTTTAAGCCATCCCTTTCTCCCTTCAGAGTAATATATTTATTCATTTTGAACAGCTAAGAAGTGTGGATTTTGAATATGTAGTCACTCTAAGTCATGTCTAGGAAATAAATTTGTATTGACTTAAATAGTCAAACCCCACTTGGTCGCTGTATGGATTCAGCATGCAAGTGACCTTAGGTTATCCATGTACAACTTTAAGTCATTCACCATTTACAGCCTGATCTGAGTTAACACTTTCCATTAGGGACACACCTGGAAAACTGCTGAATGTTCATAAAATATGAACTGAATTCCCTGGGACCTTCTGTGCACAGATTAAGAAATGAGACTAGACTAATTTTTGAGAGGTCATGTGCTGCTCCTCTTTACTCCTCAACAGGCTCAACTATATAGAATTATTTCTGACAAATGTTGAGTGGTTTATGAGGGCCTCCAGTGATGGAGGCTCTAACTAATGTCTTCCAGTGTTAAACTATATTTATTGCAGGAAAGCTATTTATAGTATCCAACTAAATCTTGCTCCAGTTTAAGTCAAATACTACTTGGCCTCTTCACTATAAGCAAAGAAAACAGTTCCTGTATCTCCCCTCACAGTCTTGTTTTCTGTATCTAAGACAACCCTGGACTGTTCAGTCAGCCTTGCCTCATAGATTTTATTTTCTGTACCTCTCATTCTGGCTCTTTGCTTTCTTCTTCTGGTCTGAATCTGTCTTGATGTGCCTCAAGCTGAACACAGCATCCCAAGCAGAGCCTCTCTGTGCCAATTAGACCAGAAGGATCGGTTAATAAGTCTTTATGAATTAAAATCCTCTTTATGTGTCCCATTATAATACTTAATTTTTCAGTATAAGATGATGTCAACTTGCATTCATCTTGTTACTTAGTGTAACAGAAGCATCCTACCTGCTTGTTCCCAATATGGTAGCTTTCCTGCATGTGTCATTATTGAACTTCATTCACTCACTACCCAAGATTTTGTATCTGATCTTCTGTTTGAATCTGAATTGCAACTATTTTCTAGTGTTCCTGTAGCTTTTCTTACTCAATGTAATCTGCTACTATTAATAAAGTTTATAGTACATTGTCTGGGTCACCGGTGAAACTGATGAGCAGTATTGGCCCTGGAAAGCCCTTTGTGAAACCCTGCTAAACACAGCATTGCTGTTTGAACAGTTGATATCCATTTCCAACAAAATTTGCTTCCACCACATTAAAGTTTCATCTAGTTAAGTTTCCCTAATTTGCATGGGAAAGTGTCAGAATCCTTATTAATGCCAGGTGGTGTCTAGAACTTCAGCCACCTTCACCCACTTCTCCACATGGTCTGTTTCCTTTTTGTTAAAGGAAACAGGATTGCCTGAAACCCTTGCTCTTAATTGTGAATTCATGTCTAGCTGCTCCGTTTCTTTTGAGTGCTTACTTTAGATTATTTCCCAGGTAATTATTGATTAGATAGCTTAATTATATAGCTTGTATTCTATCCTCTCCTTGCTCCTATTTAAATTCAGAAAAATGGCTAAGCTATCAGTCTCCTGGAAACCCATTCATTTTCTACAGATTCTTATATAGATGACCACTAATTAACTGGAGATTGCTTCAGTCAGTTCTCCAAGCCTTCAAGGATAGTTTTTCATCCAAATTGAAAATATTTACCAGATAAGGAAAAAAATAACAGATTTAAGCATACTATAAACCAATCTTATTACAGTTTGAGGTTATACTATGTTACGCTAGCTATCTTGATCACATCAAATTGAACAAAAGAAACATTAAATCCTTTGGTCTTTACAAGGTTTGCTCAGTAATTTTCAGTAATGATTCTATGACCCTTTGTCTTCATGATTTGCTTTAGATATATATCCTTAAAAAATTGACCTAGTTTCTGTATGCTGCTTTCTTGTATTTAAGGCCATTGAAGAACTTGTGCTTTTCCTGAGGTTCTTGATTTACTTCCTATCCTGCTTCTTCATTGTATCGTTTACACTTGTTTCCGTAAAGAAATAATTTCATTAAGGAACCGTTGAATCCTCAAAACTGTGTCCTTCACATTAATTTCCTGAGAGATTTGAAAAAAATCCTGAATTTTACATTCTTGTCTGCTGTCACTGCTTTGTTGTTCTGCTTCCTTTCAAACTATACAAACTTCATCCTTTCTATGATTATTCTTCTGTGTTGCTCTGTTTTTTTAGATCCTCAGACTTTCTCCCTGGTTTTTGTGTGAGCAAGTGTGGCATACCCACTGTTATCATTGCTTTTTCTATCATGAGGGAAAAGAAAATACTAATCAGTGCCTTTTGTGATCTCCTGTGCAATATGCTCTGCTGTATCCCTTTCTGGATGAGGGATATGCACATTCTTTGAGTTCCCTGCTACTTACTACACAATCTTGGGCTCTGGACTAATCTCTCAGGTGCTCAAAAAAATGCTTCCAACTACTGGTTTGGGGGGGTTTTAGTAAAATTCAAGTGTGGCAAAATCACTGACTTTACAGCTGCTGTTTTGAGGGACTTTTCTGATTTCTGTCTTCTGGACCTTGACCACACGAAGCCTGTCCATGTCTATCCTTCCCGAGCTGTGCTCAGGCTGGTTCACTGCACGCGTGTGCAGGGTCTGCAGGTTGGAGAGCATGTGCTGGTTATCAGCCCTCGGGCACTCTGAACACGTGCAATGCTCTGGTGGGAGGGCTGGAGGTCAAAATTGCCTGGAAGTGGTGTAAAATGCTAGTAAAAGTTTTGTATAGGAAAAGGGGGAGTGTACGTTAATTCATCTGAGTGTTATGTGAAATCTATGCCTTACTGTTCACATAATCCCTGTATTTAGGGATCCCTAAAGATTTATCAACAGTGAGCTATTTAAGCCCCTCCTTTACGTCCTTAAAGTTTAAGAGTCCAAGGGAGGTTATTGTTCTATCAAGAACCAGGCAGTGAAAAGTAGATGGGAAGAATATACTTCACTTGATAATATGCTGTTAAGAAGCTCCAATGGACTAAATAGTATATTGTATACATATATAATATATAGAAACCTCCTATGCTGTCAGCAGGTGTCTGGGATTCAGAAAAAATCCTCAAGTAAAGCTGCAGAGGATTCTGCTCCTCGTGTAAAAGAGACCTAAGTTTAGCCAAGCAGCAAAGGTCTTGTTTCTCCCCTTTATCCCGATGCGGGGCCAGGAAGGCCGCGGAGGCTGCCCCGCAGGGTCAGCGTGTGGCGGGGCCCGCGGGTGCCGTGGGCGTGGGGCCGAGCCTCGGCCTCGGAACGCCGCACCCACGCTGCCCGCGGGAGTTCTGCAGGCGGCTGTGGCTCCGAGCGAAGTCCTTCTGGCCCTCAGCGGGGCGGGCCGGGCCCGCGTCTGCAGGAAAGCCCAGCGGGCAGGCGGACGGCGGCTCGGTGGGCCGGGGCCGGCAGCCGCCGCACTACAGCTCCCAGCGCGCCGGGCGGGCTGCGCGCGGAGGAAGTCTGGCCCCACCGGCGCGCCGTCCTGCAGCGGCCGCCATCTTGTGCGGGAGGCGGTGGCGGCGCTGCGCTGCGCGGAGGAGCGGCGGTCGCGCCTCCCTCCCTCCCTCCCGCCCGCCCTCGCTCCGCCGTCCTGCTGCCGCGGCGCCATGTCTGCGGAGGGTCCCGAGCCCGCCTCGGCCGAGGAGCAGAAGGTGGGTGGCTGGTGGCCTCGCCGAGGAATAGGAGGAGGCCCGCGGGGCTTCTCCCGCCTCCGTCTGCGCGCTGAAGCGGAGCGGGGGAGCCGCGGCCGGGCCTCGCCCTCCCTCAACCCGGGGAGCCCCTCGGGCAGCGTTTCCCGGGCCCAGCCGCCCTTCTCGCCGCGCCCGGAACCCGTTCGGAGCGGGGGAGCGGCCCGGCCCTTCCGCCGCCGCGCAGGAGGGCAGCGAGAGCCGGGCGGGACGGGGCCCGGCGCCCGCCGCGGGAGTGGGGCCGCGGCGCAGGCCGGAGCGACTGGGGAGGCGCGGGCCGGGCCGCCCGCGGAGAAGCGGCACCACCGTGTCGGCTCCTGCACTTGAGAGTTTTTATTCTCTCTTAAGTCGCTGGCGTGCGCCGGCCTGGACGGGCTAATGGCGCTCCCTCGCTCCCCAGACCGGCCTCAGCCCCGCTCTCCGCCGAGCGCTCTGCCTGCCGGGGCGTCCTGGGGGAGAGAATTTCAGCTCACGGTCGCGGCGACTGGAGACCAGCGGTAATCTGGTGGCTAAACTTTTCTTTCACTTTCAGAAAATTTTCAGTTTTGAATGCAACCTATTTAGGAGGAGAAATAGCCAGAACACAAGGGCTGTGGCCTGTTTTAGTTAAAGCGTTTAGAAAGAAGAGCTGGCTGGGTTATCTTGTGGTGGCACTATTACGTTATCTCTGTAACTAATAATTTTTTTGTTTCTTAAGTGGGATTTGGCTTCATAGATGACTGTATGCAGTTAACAGTTTCCTTCTGTTGGCTGTGACTTTTTTTAGTTGTGCCATTCCTTTAAGAAGCTGTTTTTAGTCTTGTCATTGCTACATGGACTCAGTTGCAATCACCGCAGCTATTTCTGATAGGGAGCCAGTTATGAAACACAAGGACTGCTTTGAAGGACGTTAAAAGAAAAAGCTTAATCTACGTCAGCTGTCAAGTTTTTGTTTAATAATTTACAATTTGTAATATGAGTTAGTCATACAAGTAGGCGAGCTTTGGGGGTTAATATGGAATGATACCTTCTCAATGGGTGCAGTAATCAGAACCAGCTTCTATGATAGGCCTGTAATCTACTCTTAAATGTGCGTTCATGCTAGGCAGACTACTGAAGGGATATCGTTCCTGTTCAAAGCCTATAAAAATAAATCCCTGGCCTATGCAGCACTCCAAGAATAGCTGTGTAATAAGAGCATAGTAAAACATGTGGTAGCAGGTTTATTGTGAAGCCTTCTAGTGTGTTCTGATGAAGTCAGGTGACTGGGGCTGATTTTGCTGAGTTTGAGTGAAGTCTTGAAATGCAGTGCTTCTGCACTGCTTTGAAAAATTACCCTTTTTTTTTGAGAGACTGGAGTCTTACTCATCTGCTAATTTAGTTTTAATCTGATGAGGTGTTTGAGATATAATAATAATGTCAATAAAACTTGATTTTCTGTTAGTTTATATCTTGTTAGGATACTGTGATGTCAGTGCTATTGTGACATTGCAATAGTAACTTTCACTAAAACTGTCCGGGCAGGCAAAATTGAACATTGACTCAGTTAATGCTTATCTCTGAAATATTTATATAAACAACCCATTTTGCAGTATTTATGTATGCCTAAAAAAAAATCAAGCCCCTCAATGAACTTTGAGGCAGTGTTTTCATGATCAGACCTCTTTTCTAAACTTTTCTAACATGCTGTAAGAAGGTTGTGCATGTGTTAGGCAAGAAGGGTATTAAACAAGAGAACGATACAAATTGAAAACTTGCCCAAGACCAGCATTTCCTGTTCTCTGTGTGAAAACTCAGGATTGGTGGTAGGGGGAAGTTCAGCAACAAAGAAACTTTAGACACTGGAGAACATATGCTTGGTTGACTGACTCTCTGTTTGCCTTAAAAGCCTGCATTTTTCAGGAAGCTGCTAGAGGTATTGCATTTTGTTTCTGGACTGGGTTTTGTCACATCACTTTGCTGTAGAGTTGTGCCATTGTCATGTTTTTCCCCATTTTCTGCTTTACATTTTGTCTGATATCTTTTGCTAAGAAGGATGAGCTCTTCATACCAGAGCTTGGAAAGGCTGATGGCTCTTTTCTTTTTTTTTAGACATGCAGTTCAGTTGTCCAACAGATATGGAACTTTAAACTGCTAGTTCTGCTGTAAAGATTAAAAATAAAAGCTGTCTTTAAATGGAGTAAGCAGACTTCATTAGCTGTGTCAGATTCCTCTAGAGAACTAAAATTATCATTTTTGTGTGGTTGTCACTAGGAAGAAGAACATGATATAACTTGATTTCTAACCCCTCCTCACAATAATTTGCTAGTCACTTGGTTGCTGCTTCTGTAGCTCAAGGGAGAATGTTGTAAACATATGAACGGCCTTACTGGCTGGGGTTAAAGCTTTTGTCACTCAACAGCACATCTCCAAGAGTGCTCAGTATTATCTAGTCCACAGAAGATTATAAAGCCAGGACATGGATGCAGTGATCTTCCCCAGAAAACTATCCCAGGTCTTAGCAATCTGTGGTTTAAAAGCCTTCTGAGCTGTGAATGAACACATCGAGTTGCTTTCAGAATACATACAAATTCTTGGCACCCCTTATATCCTTTGGCAGGGAGTTCTGCAGCTTAACTGTATTTTATATGAAGAACTATTGTCTTAAGTATTTTTTGAACCTGCCATCAGTTGGTTTTGTCTGGACACCCCAAGTCTTTGTATTGAAATTCTTTAATTTGTCATATGTAGTTTTTTGAGTCTTCTTTGTTCTTGGTCATCAACAGTGAGTGACCATAGTCTCTATCCTTTTCAGCTGCACTGATGCATAACACGGTATTTTGTGTTTTGATTGCCTGCTGTCTGGTGATCTGTCAGCCCTGTGAGTTTGCATAAATGTTTCCTTTGATGCACTATGAATACATATTTGTGTAAGCTATTTATTGTTGGCCCTCTCTGTTCTTAAAAAACATCTCCTTTTGGTTAGTGTTGGCAAAACATGCCCCCTCGAATGCTTTGTCTGTTGGCTCAACAGTGAGTACCCAGTGATTCAGCATTAGATGTTGAAAGTGTTTAGCTGAAAGGATTGCTTTTGAGAAAATCCAGTCAGTGTTGGCATGATAATAAAGCACAATAGGAAAAAGAGCAGCTAAAGAATGATTTTTATAGCACACAAAAACTGTGGTCTTGGCTAGTATCTTATATAGTGAGGATTGGTATAGTTCTGTGTTCAATAGTGTCAGGGAAACTTTGCCCTTTATATTTATTTGTATTTTGCATTGTATTGCCTAACTGTGCTTTTGTCTAATAAAAAACATGGGTTCCTGTCCTTGAAGTTTCTCTTGAACTGTTACGAGAATTTCTATCTTTCCTTGGTAGAACTTAATTCAGATTCCCACTGTATTGTGCAAAGCTGTCTTTGAGATGTCTTGGTGTAATGGAGCAACTGGACAATGTTATATTCTAACTCTGTTATGACCATTGCTTATGAGTTTTTTTTACCAGAAGGATGTTGAATATTATGGAACTTTGAGCTTTATAAGAGATACAGGAAAGCACTGGATTAGACTAATGTGGCTCTAGTTCTTTTGACAGTTCTGTCTTAAGTAGCTCCCAGCTGCTTGTTCCTCTGTCCTCCCTGCTGCTCTGCTGACATACCTGTTTGTGCAGCTGCTTGGTTATCCAGACTGTGGAAACTTACCCAAATGAAACACAGCCCAAGAAGGGGAAAAAAAAAAAAATTTCTGTTGAATTAATTTCTGTAACCCATTCATGTGGAGTGAGCGCAGGGTAATGCTGACTGATGCAATGCGAAGGATGATGTCACAGATTGAAAAGAGGGTGAAGGGGCTGCCTAAGCAGCTCTAAGTAGATATGAAACCTTAGCCACAGATGAATGTGAGGCCCTCATGATTTCAGTGGTGATTCTTTCCTGCCTAAAAGTCTGCCTGTGACTTCAGATGATAATAACAGTTCAAGAACTACAGTACTTACCAATTTAATTTCCCTGAACTGGCAATAGTTTCCATGCAAAAAAAAAAAAAAAAAATTCCTAACCAACGCCTTGGCCAAGTACTGGAAAATAGCAGAACAATAATTCTGAATGGAAGATTTTTTAGAAGTGATCTAATAGAAGAAATTGTACTTCATACATCAAATTGCCACATGAGCTGGAACAGATGAGTGTAAAGTAGAGGTCAGTGTTGAAAGACTGGATGTACAGTGGCAGTTTTTGCCAAATGAGTATCTTCAAATGATTACTTTGATCATCCATATTTTACAGTATGCTCATAAAACAGGCACTTTATTTTACACAAATGCACTCTCCAGCTGTCTTCATCCTCATAATTTTAGGGTAATTACAGACATGTATAGAGAAATACAGTATTGTTGCTGTTAATATGATAGCAGGCATGCTTTTGAGACTGAGCTGCTTGAACACTGTTTCACAATGAATAGCAACAGATAGAGCAGACATACAGGCTAGATTTTGACAATGCAAGTGCTAGTCTGTCTCTGCAATTTCATGACCAAAGAAGGGCAGCTGAAAAAAAAGGCCTGTAACTCTTGCCAGCTTTCACTAAGGACAAACATTGACACTCTTGTTTTGACCAAAAAATTTTTTTTCTTTGGGGGATTTTGTTTTGGCTTATTTTTTTTCCAAAATTTAATAATTTAATTTTAGACGACTTTGATATGAAAGAGAAATTCACTGATTAGATTCAAACACATTTCTGTGCAAGGTTTCTAAGATGGGAGTCTGAACTCATACAGTTGCTGTCAGTATTTGAGAGAGAATGTATGAAAATGTCTATTCAAATAATTGATATGTTCACTAGGTAGCAGCAGTTGTCATGTTGGTGAATTACCTGCACAGATATTCAGCATAAATAGTTCATTATTGTATATTTCACTTACAGTATTGCTGATTGTCTTTCAGGAAATGGAGGATAAGGTGATCAGCCCAGAAAAAGTTGAAGAAGCGAAATTGAAAGCGAGATACCCTCATCTGGGCCAGAAGCCAGGAGGCTCAGACTTCTTGAGGAAGAGGCTTCAAAAAGGAGTGAGTTCTTTATTGTCCACAGGGTATGGACAAGAAATTCCAGAACTCCTGTACCTGTGATTTTTTTTTTTTTTTTCCAGTCCACAGGCGTTTGCATGAGTGAAAGAGTGCTAATAAATTTAGACTTTATGAAGGTACAAGGAAGAGAAATTTGTTTCCACAAAACAAACACCAAATTAGCAGGATAGCTGTTTACAGCATCAGTGGCCCAACTGCACTTTTTAGAAAAAATTAGACTTAGAAGCTGGCCCAGTGCTGCTGTGATAGATTTAAAAAAATATTGTAGTAAACCTGAAGGGTCAGAAGCTCATCCCTGTTTTGTATTGATCTTATCTTGCCCATTCTTATGTCCTCAAAATGTATGTCCACTCTTTTCCATGTTTTTAGCACATGAAAGCTTAGTGTCTGCTACGTTACACCAGGTACCATCTGACGTAAGTGGCTTGAGAATGGTGGTGTAATTATGAATGTACACCCTAACCAAAAAATAATGATAGAAGAATGAAGAGTGAGTTAGTATTTCAATATTGATCCATGTTTAACCATTGTCTCTTATTTTCCTAGTTACTCAGCTGTTCTTTATTTTTTAAATTTAATTATTCATAAAGTGATTATATCATGCCTTTCAGGCATGCTAGAACTCTGTTCTTGAAATAATCCTGGTATATCACTACTTCTGATGATGGTTTCATTGATGTCACGCTGGTTTGTTTGTTTTGTGATTTTTTTTTGTTTTTTTTTTTTTTTTTTTTTTGTTTGTTTTTTTTTGTTTGTTTGTTTGGTTTTGGTTTTTTGGTGTTTTTTTTTTTTTTTTTTCTTTTTTTTACTGTTGTCGAGGCCCTTTGAGTGCACACAGTGATTCTAAGTATAAATCCTTTGCAAACCAGCTGTTGGAGCTCAGTCCTGATCTAATTCTGTGCTATCTGGTAACATCTCCTGGAAATTGTTACTGTTGGCAGAATTTTTTGGATAAGCTTTCTCTCATAAGTTGAAGAATATGCAGCATAGTTAATGGCTGCTGGGAATGAGCAGGTGATAGGTTAGGTGAAATCCTTTTGTGAATTATGCTGTTATGCAGTCAAAGGTGGCCTAAAGGAGACTTCAGGGGGTTCGGTGTATGTGTAGACACAGAAGGGAGAAGGTAAGTGTATGTTGTGATGCAAATTCAGGAAAACAGACCAGTATCTACTCCCTATGCATTGCTGGCCATAAAGGAATAGTGACTGCTTGCACTCAGTGCAAATGTGAGGAAAACTTGCCACCAACAATAACAGTCTGTTTAGTACCTTCATGTTGGTTATAGCACTATTTAATACAAAAGTTGTTGCAGCCTGTATTTTCAAATTTGAGCAGAGGTAGACCAATGGGCGTCTGAATTGACTGTTAGAGATTTTGCTGCTTTGATGAGAGATCGCATAAAGCTGTGGATTCCAATTCACAATTTGCCTTCTTCAGTTCTCCACTCCTAATGTGGTAATAACTTTCTTCCATTTTATTTATTTTTTTTTTTTGTTTAGTCTGCTCAGTGTCTTAAATGAGGAAGCATCTTTACTTCATATAGACGCCTGGTGTACTTTGGGCTGCCTGGATTGCTGAAGTTTAAAGTAGAATGAGGGTAGTGAGTATGATTTCAGATAGTGTTTGTGACACGAAGACACCTGGACAGATACAGTCAATTTGAAAGGGATGATCAAATACAGGCCATCTATGAGAAGCTAGAGTAAATCAGAGGAAAATACAGGAATAAGTTAAAGGAAGAAATGGACTGATATTCTAATGCATGAAAGATGGTAGGTTTTCTCAGATATTCTTCTAAATGTATATAGTCAGCTGTAGCCCAGATTTTCTTAAATTTGGCAGCTAGGACATGCTCTGCCCATTGATATTTGCTCTCCGGAAATGTCCAGTTTTGGATGCACACATCATTATTAGCACACTTTCTCCAGAATAGGAGTAGATGAGAACCGTGCTACACCATGCTCCTGTAGAGGGATTCCATTTGGAGCTCTTACGTGGACAGAAATGGATAGCTGCTAACAGCAGTAACACGTTGAAAGATTGAACAATTCGGTTATTACCTAGAGGCTATTTAAAAGTTGCTTTTGGTTGCTTCAGTCTTGAAGGGCAAAGCCTTGATGGAGCCTTTTCCCAAACCTGGTTACAACTTGAGGTGTAGTCTGCAGATGAGGTGCTAGAACATTGTGGTGTAAACAGGGATTACAGCATCAAAAGGATTGAATTGGGATGGTATACGAATAAAAGTGTGTGGTTCAGGTGTACTGCTGGCTGCATGGATAAAACAGATACGGTAACTTTTAAGGTTCTAGCTGGGAATATTGAAAGCCTTCTTCAGGAGGCCTCCCCCCTCGCCCTGAGGTAAAGTCCTGTTAAGTCAGGTGTTCACATTACTTCTCCCTAACAACTGCTGCTACTGAACATTTTGCAGCTGGTTAGTACTAATGCAAAATAAAGAGTACAGTAGTAAAATGCTGCCTGGAAGCACTTAAAGATTGCAGGTAGTGATGGCTGTTGTTCAACTGACTGGAGACTAAGCCTATATAAAGCTAATGAGGGATTGTTCTCTTCAGAGATGGGGATTGTAACAGCAGTTGCTAGTGAATCTTTTTACTGAATCTGGTATTTTTGTCCTTATATGCTCAGAATCGTGGGTTACAAGTACATTAATAGTAGACTGAATAGTAAGTTGTAAATATGATTTTTTTTCTGCTAAATGTGTCAGTGAGCAATTGAAGATTTGATGCAGGTTTTGGATGAAATTCCATACTTCATTTTACCAAGATGCAGATAAATTATAACAGTCATTTGGCTTTAACATCCATAGCTATTTTAATATTTTGAGAAATGGGACAATAAAAAAGACTGTTGAAAGTGATGCTAATAAAAATTTGCTGAAGTATTAAGGAACACTGTTTTAGAGATTCAAACTTAATGTACTCACGTTTGTATTCAGAAGAAACCTGGAGAGTGGGATAAGAATTTCCTTCGCACAGTGCTTATCAGAAGGACTGCACAGTAGATTTGACTTCACTAAATAATTGCTTTGGAAATTTTTGGAAATATAGTTTCACTGTTTTAATGTGTGCAAGTAAGAGATTTTCTTGTTAGCATGCAGTTTCACGCTACTTTGATCTTCTGGTACTATAGAACAGGCTGTATTCTCCAGCTTTAGTTCATGCATTGTTTTGTGTAATTTTGTGTAGCAGAACTTGTTCACTGCAACAAAATTTACAAACCCCAAGATTTCAGCTGTGAGAGACCAGAGCTCTCAGGAAAACCAGGGTAAAAATAATGTTCATGTATGCTGTGAGTTTAATAGAACTTTAACTGTTTACTCGCCTATTGTTAAGAGTTTAACTGTATGTGCTTAATAGTCTTGATTAAGATTTTTTTTTTTTTTTTTTACATAGAGCTATGTTGCCAAATCGGAAAGATTTTATATTTGTTCTTAAAACTTAATGAATTTATTTAACTATATAATTCAGTGTATGCATCTGATAAGATTTCAGGCTTTTAAATATATGTGTGTTTTGTCTTCTAGCAAAAATACTTTGATTCTGGCGATTACAACATGGCTAAAGCAAAGATGAAGAATAAGCAACTGCCTACTGCAGCTCCTGACAAGACAGAAGTCACTGGTGACCATATTCCTACTCCACAGGATCTTCCACAGCGGAAACCATCTCTTGTTGCTAGCAAGCTGGCTGGCTGACGAGAAGAGCTGAACTGCATGATTATTCTCATTCCTGTTATTTCTCCTTAATAGTTATTTCTCACCCCTCATATCCCCCTCTTTCTTTCTTACACTAAGTCATGAGACTGACAGCTTTGCAGGTAGCGATAGCATGTGCTGCTATTGTAAGGGAGTACTGTTAAGAGTAAAATGTGTAGTATTTGGACTAGTTGAGAACAATGCACTGATTAAAAAGGACAAGTTTGGTTAGAGCAATGTAATCTACTTGAAAATGTACATATTGCCCATTTCCTAGTGTAGGACTGGTTCCAGCAAGTGACATCGCAAGTTTTACAACTTCTAATGTTTCTGCTTTTGTTATTTCATCTTAATTACAGCATATTTGTATTTAATATAACCTCCAGTTGTGTTGGGTTTTTCTTCTGTGTTTGGGTTTGTTGTCTAAAATAGAGGTTTAGACCACAAGTTGCTAGACGGTAAAGCATGTATAAAAACAAAGACAGGGCTCTGATTGAATTTTGTTTCTGCTTTTGAACTTGAACGGCCTTAAACCTGTTTCAGCTTTAACAATAGAGTTTTTACTTGGGCAATATTTGCCCATTCTGGTGTAACTCTTGTGAACCTAGTGCTTATTGACAACTGCCTGTTGAAGCTGGTATTCTTTTCAGTTCCGTAGCTTAGGACACACTTTTGTTAAAGATGTGAATGAAGTGTGCATGTGCATAGACTGTTGAATTCACTCTTGTGCCATTTTTGTAAATACAATAGTTTTGCACAACCTTTTGCAAACGTCTGTTAGTTTTACATTCTAAAAAGCAGATAATGTGCCAATCAAAGCACAAGTGATTCTGTATCTTTCAAAGTCTTGTCCTGAAACTAAGAGCCCAGAATCTTGCTACTGAAAGTAAAACTTGTATACCTGAAATTTGTGAAACACATACATTTACACTTGACTAGGCCTTATGCTTTTGCAGTTGCATATTTTGTTTGGCAACAACATCCAGCATTCAAATATAAATCTGAAATTTGTACCAAAATTTGGAGGCAAGTGCCCTTTATGTTCAGCAGCTCTTTAAGCTTTTAAAGCTGAAATGCTATGTCTGATGATATGGAAGATGGCTAAATGTACTGTTCTAGAGAGTTTCCTGTGGCAGACACCAAATCTAGGCTTGCTAAGGTTTGATATGCAGTTGTCTTTGGGCTATTTTAGACTTCTGGAAGCAGAAGGGTAAAATTACTTTTTTTTTTTTTCCTTGGACTCCTGAAGTGGTATTAAACTATCTCCTTTTCTCTTTGTTATACAGCAGCCCCTCACTGGCTTTGGGGAAACAAAGGACTGGAAGTGGTATTTATATAATGACCTATTGAGAAATAGGTAACTTTTCACATCAGAGAATGGGAATGAACTTCAGTTCATCTTTATGATGCAGGTCATAAGTACTAGATTACCATCTATAATGTAATTAATTTTCATACATGTTCTTCAGGAGTGTAAGAAACTCTTTTAAAAGATCAGTTTACTGAATACCTTTTTTTAAAGAAACAGTTCTGAAGCAGCCTATTAAAAACGAAGCACCAATGTAGGTATTATAAGAGAAAACACTTTTAAAGGTGCATGTTTTTATAAGGATGCACTTTGTGTTGACATATTCAGAAAGGTCTTGCAGGATAAAGGACTGCTAGTCAAAAAGAATGCTGGCCCATATTTTTTGCAATGCTCTCTTCTAAAGGCAAACATAAGAATATGATCAGGAGGAAATGAATACTCTTAATTTGGTCCTGTTTTGATCAGAACATGAGCAAAGTATATCGGTATCTATATAATGTCTTTGGTTCAGAGAAGTCATTCCAGAGAATTTTGAAATGGCTAACCTGATTCTTTTCAAGTCTGTGTAGCCCTTTTCTAGTGATTTTGTGGGCTCTGTCAAGCCTTTATTCCTTATCCTCCACTAGTACTATAAAGAATTTGTGATTTTTGCAGAACAGATTGAAGAAACAGACCTACTTGACTTCTTTAAGTAAGAAATTAGGCTGGGAGACTAGCAAGGAAACTGGATATATTGAAGCAAGCTGCTTTTTATAGATGTTTGTCCTAATGTGAAAATCCCTCTTTATTTTTGTATGTATAAATGAAATTGAAACTTAATGATAGGACTGGGCCTGAAATTAATTTTAAACAGTTTAAGGTGACTTGCTGTGTATTGTCTGGTGCCACTATTCTGTAGCTCACATAAAGTGAGCTTTCTTGATGTTTGGGAAGGTTTAAAAAAAAATAGCCATTTAAATTTAAACATTCCATTCAGCTAGAAATCAGCTTGTCCTGCTTGTTGGACAACATGAGTTCTTCCCATGTTCACTCGGTGACTTTCAGTTCTTAAGATTACTACAAATACAGCTATGAATATATTATCCATGTGTATATTTAAAGTACTGTAATACTAGGTCAATGACTGATTACGAGCCTTCACATCTGACAGACCTCAGCAGCAGACACAGCTATTTTGATTCTATACACTGTATAAATCTTAAGTCTAGTAATCACTTAACAGTAAATCAAACATGACAGCAAATCGATGCTTACTTTCAGCTTATTCCAGCAAGATAACTCAGCTATCCAAACATATGTACATAATGTATTATATGAGTTTTACCATTTGATAATTGCCTTTTTCAAAGAAAACCTGTCTGCACTGTAGACTGGCAGTCCCTTTCATATCTTTGCCTTTAAAGATAGACAGTGTTTAGTTTTTAGAGTAATACTCATGTAGGCTTATAATAGCAGATAGCACCCACATTTTGAGATAGATAAGTGGATTAATTACAACCTCACAGATATGTCCCCAAATCTGTAGCACCAAAGGCTTCCCTCTCATTGTTCTTGATGTAGTAGGACAGTGTTTGTGTAAAGGCCACAGGAGTACATTTTATTGGACATATTTACACCCAGTCAAGATGTTAAGGTGATAAAAATGTCAATTGTTCTTTACAAACTTACACACTGTATAGTATACAGAATAAATTGATCTACTTAGTTTTTATTGCAATGTGGAGATTTGTCTCGTCTTTACTGTGGTTTCCTAAAAGATACTGCATACTTCGGTATTCTCTATGGAAAATTTCTAAAACCTAAATCTTGCTACTCTGTATCATTAAAAATATGACTGGGCTTTGGTTTCTAGTATGTTAGACTACAGAATTACTTTAATGTAATCACATTTATATATATTTCAGTGCTTATTTTTCTAAGGCAATTAAAGCTTATTGTTTGAAAACTCCATAAGAGATGACTGTTTTAGTCCCTTGCACTGAGTGAAGGGGATATCTGGGAATTAGCTTGGCATGTAGAAGTTTGCATTGCTATAGACTATTGTCCTGAATATGGCAACATTTCCAAGAAACCAAGATGCTGGAAAAAGTCCAACTAAGTTAATATTCAAACTGTGACTTAGGTGCTGATCTTCTTGCAACTTTAAGATCCATGTGGTATATTTATACAATTAGCACAGTCACCAAAGTCACAGTAACAGCCTCTATGCTCTGCATCTCTAACAAATTGAGGAGAAAAATGTCCAATTTAAGTAGTGTCATTCAAATATCACGCTGAGGCAGTGCAAAGACTGCGTTAACACTGGCGTTAAGAACCTAAAGTAACTTACCTTAATCTCTGTGTGGGGAGTGGCATCAGTTCAGGCACAGACAAACAAGCCATTTAACTACAGGCTTATTGCCCAAATCTGTTTCTGCTTAGAGCTGAGGCGGGTACGGTTGCACAGACCTGTGCTCAGAGAAGCTTTGCGTTTAGTGGCTGTGCTCATGGAACGTGCCCACGCTATTCAGGAGGGAGGCAAGATTGCAGTAACTTGTTTATTTCATGGCTGGGGGGCTTTCTGTGACCTTGGGAAAAACAGACTGGGGGAGCATGCAAGCAGGATGAATGGGTGGGTGGGTGGGTTGGTTGGTTTTTTTAACTTAAAGTGGAGTTGGTCTGAATGTGTGGCTTGATTATTCCTGCTTTAGTACAAGTGAGCTACCCTCTTTCACGTCTTTAGCTTTTTCATCCCAATTTCTGGCATCTGTAGATTGAGAGTAACTTGAAATCTAAAAACTGTGTATTCAAAACATTTATTCCCATTAAATATCTTGGAAAATGTTTCTGGAATACTATCACAGAGACAGACAGCCTTGAGTTCAACTGATATGCTTGAAACAGCTTTAGTTTAGGGACAGGTAGCTGAATTGTCTCTCTTCCTCAGGCAGTACATCTTCGTTACAATTAGGATGCTGCTTGACACATTCATGATAAATATTCTTGCATATTTATAGCAGTCACAAAAGTCTGTTTACCTTGGAAAATATTGACAAATATTTTTGACAAATATTGACAATTAGCCTTGGAAAATATTGACAAAGCCTCCACTGATGTCAGGTGGATGTTTATTTGACTGGTTTGAAAGGGAAAGATGAAGTACTCTTTGTTTCTGTCTAATAACAGATTTCAGTTGGGCTTAGTTTTTTTATCTTATTGTGAAAGACTTGTAGCTCTTGTTAAAAGAGGAATATGGTTGGATAATCTGTCAACTTCCCTTGATAATATTACAGAATAATCAAATAACTGTCATTGACATTAGTGGTACAGGGAGACTCCACATTCTTGGATTCAACTTCTGCTGATACTTCTGTGTTAACATGGTAGGGTTGTTTCCTTACTGGGTTTGAGGAAAAAAAACCTGTAAGACTCTTCCTTGAGAAATGTGATTTGGATTTTTTAAATGCATGGTCATTGAATTATGGGGCTGAAATTATAAGGATTCTTAAAGGCAAGAATGGGAACTGTGGTTCTTCTGAACTTTAGGTCTGTTCTTGGGTGATGGTTTTTATACTGTTGAAAGAAAAAAAAATGGTTAATACACTGAAAATACGTGATGTTCTAGAGATAAGTCTTCCTAGTACAGGCATAGGTAGATTGAGGCAAGCTTTCTGCATGGGAATTTCATCCTGTAGGTTTTATCTTATCTTTTCTGTAAGGCCAAAAAACCTGGAAGTAAATCCCAAGTGTTGCTGGGAGAACACGTGCATAGTATGTGATTTTATCTCTTCCTACATATCTCTTGCATTACATTTCAGAGTTCTTACCTGGGAACTATTCAATCAGCATTGGCTGAAACCAGCCCTGTTTGTTTTCTACAGCTAAAAGGTGCAGGCCTAATCCTTGTGCTGGAGAATATACGAAAGGGTAGGGGGAGGATTTTAGCCTATGAATCCCCAAGTTAGCTTTGTCTGTCTTTCCAGTGAGAGCAAATTGGCGTTAAACTGATGGTCAATGTTGAATATACAGATGCTCTTCCGAAGGATTGGATAGGCCCATCCACTGTGCCACATAAGTCACCTCATGTTTCCTGTGATGCCACTACATATTATTTCTGTGCCTCTAATGATTTTCATTGTTTCTTTGGCCAACAGAATCTACTGCTCACTTGCAGTACAGCGTGACAACAAAATAGGAAGTCCTAACTGAGAAGCAAGTTTTTCTGCCACAGTTAAATGGATCATGGGTGTAAGCAGAACATAGATGCAAGAAAAAAAGATAGGACAGATGCTTTGTAGTCACTTTTTAAAAAAATTACAAGAACTAATTTCAATTCATAGAAGGATTCTTTTTTTTTTTTTTTTTGATTGTGTTCAAATTCAGTCTAAAATTCTTTATGTGGACTATGTCAGCCACATCAGCCATACATTGTCAGCTGGAATACCCTGGGATGTGTGCTCTAAAATCAAATGCTATAAATGATCTTTTTGAAAAGATGTTGTGCAAGATATGAGGACGTTTAAAATCTTGCCAGCAAATGTCTGATGCAGGAGACTCAAAGTATTAAGTAGTCTAGATACATTACAAACAGGTTGTTTCTTGGCAACTTTCAGTGTCCCCAATTCCTGTCCTTAATGACAGATTTGAAATCCTGGTTTTTGCAAATTGTGTCAAATCATAGCATATTTTGGACTTGGATATCTATTTTTTGCTGGGGCTCATAATTACATTTGGCTTTGGAGTTCCACCTGTGAATGGCTGATACAGTAATCCACAGTCCAGGCAAACTCCTGAAATGAGTGTCTTTGAATTTAGAATAGGTATCATCCTGAATAAAGGATATTCTGTATCGGATATGAAGCAGCATGCAGTCAGAGGGGAGGTTCAGGTCCCTCCTGAAAACAAAACGCATTTCTGTGGTTCATACATTCAGATTCTTAGATTAAGCCTGTTAAAGGGAGATGATCGCACTCAAATGAACCCCGAATTACTTTTGTGTTACCCATGAAAGATGACTGGTTGCTTTAGTACACATCTGTATGTATTGCTACAGTGTACATGTGAAGACCAGGTGTGCAAACTTCTTAGCCTAAAACCTCACCCCTGACCTGGACAGCAATTTGCAGGAACAAGTTCTGGGCTTCACATCGGTCTGAGAGCAAATGTCCCGATCTGCTGATGGGAGTGAGCCTCCTAGCCACGGGACAGTAACAGAGTCCTGGTTGATAATCCTGGACATACTGGCAGAACATGGGAAGGAAGGTATTTTTAAAAGTCAATTCTCATTAGAGTTTCAACTCTGAACTCTCCCAGCAAAATCAATATTTTTTTTTTAACTTCTTTTCTGAATTTACTAACCTTGGTTTACTAGCTGTGAAGACCATATATCTGCACCTAATAGTAACAACTCCAGGTAAGGCTCCGTATTTTCATCTTACTTATTTTTCCTCTTTCATTCGTGCTTACTATTTCCATCTCTTTTCCTTCAGATAGCAGTAAAGTACAGCTAGATTGTAGCATTTATTTGGAGTGTTTATTTTAGAAGCCAAGATAGCTTGATTTTTATTCCTGGCTGTTACTAAGTTGATGGGTGATTTTTGAGCAGGTCAGTCATCTCCTTCACAACTCATTTTCTCGGTAGAACAGGTTTGTCTGTTTCTTTGATAGTTACAGCAAGTTTCAGGGGGAGTACAGATACTACCCACTGAATACAGAGCTGTTATCTACTTAAAAAGTAAAAGCACTTTGGTGGAGAGTGTGGCAACGCTAACAGGTTCAAACTTGTTTTGTATTTTGGGCCACTTGGAGTGGTAGAATGCATTCCCGAGGTGAAAAAGGAAAATACGGAAAGATATTAATAGCTTCAGTTCTGCTGTCAAAAGAATTCTGCCATATGTGAGCTGTAAAAAACACCTATTAATGATTCATAAAGCAATGAAGTACCATCTCAAGACCTAGCCAGAACACGAACTATGCTTTTCATTCCTTCTTGACATAGATGTTAAAACTTTTCAAAGATGCATGCCTTAATTTCTTGGTGAAAACTGGACTTGCTTATCAAAGGAACTGCTTTGGGCCCAGTTTTCTTCAGTGTTTTCAGTAGCGGTTTGAATGATAAAGATGCAGTCAAGCTGGAAGAGGTTGTAAACAATTTGAAAGATAGGATCAGAATCAGAGAGAGAAAACACAAAATTGAAAACTTGGCAGCTGACGAGTACACGGAGAAAGAGAGGCTGGGAATAACTGGAGACGTGGTAGGATGGCAGCCGTAGGCTGTAACCCAGGTGTAAATCCTGCAAGATGAGGCACGCGTGGCTCGTCTGTTCGCGTTGGGAGTTGCCTGTGAGAGGAAGGGACGGCTCCCCCTGCCTGGCGCTGGCGATGCCCGGGCTGCTGAGCCTGCGGGTTGGGAACCGCACCTCAAGTAATACACGGGCTGGAAAGCAACACGGATGACCAACCTGATGAAGAACGGAGCAATTTGTTCCGGCCAGGATAAAAAAAAAAAAAAAAAAAGGCAGGATCGGGAGAGAGAGAAGGGATACCGGTTCTTGCAGAAGGCGGAAGCCGCTGGGGGGGCGCGGGCTAAGCCGGGACAGCGCTGCCTTTCGTCGCTGCGCCCTCGGTGAAACCGGAGCCGCGACCCCCGGGGGCCTCGCGGCGGCGGCGCGGCCCGCCCGTGGGCAGCGGCCCGCCCGTGGGCAGCGGCCCGCCCGTGGGCAGCGGCCCGCCCGTGGG